ACTTTCTGGAAAAAATAATTACAGTGTACAGTACTATCAAATAAAGTTCCGATATTTGTGCAACACTGCAAATATGGCACTATTAATAGGCAAAGTATGATCACACACATTGAATCTACATTTATGAAATTTGAAATTAGGTGTCAGTGTTTCAGAAGGAATTTCATTTATTATGGTAATAACAGTAAAAGTCTGAAGCAGTGTTAGGGCTTGTCACAAATGGTCTCTTCTGAGTAAGTTTGGTGCTGATATTAAAGCTAATGCTAAAATTATGGTTCAGGTTATGGAAGTACTTTAAATAGTTTAATTAAGAATTTCTACCATTTGGAATGAGCTGAGGTTAAGGAATGTGATCCAGACTTTCTAGAAGGTTGTGGCTACTGTGAAGCCTAATGGGAAATCTGACACTGATGCAATAATTTATTTTTAAAACTGTATAGTTTTATATACAGTAAATAATTAATTGAGGGGGAATTTTGTTTTCACTTTGACATTATAGAGGCAAAAAAAAACACCAGTTAAATACATTATGATTCCATATTGTTTGACAATAAAAATGTGAAAAAGTCCAAAGGGAATGAATACTTTAATAGCCACTGTACAAACCACAACAAAATTTAAAGGCAAGACCAAAACACCATTCAAGTGTATTATTCACAAACAATAGAACTGTAATAACAGGAACCTAATCTTACCCCAAACACTATCCAAACTATAAACTTCGCTAGATTCCAAAATTTATCAAATTTGAGCCTAAAATTCAGTCTACACTCAAATGCTACCATACAGTTAAACCCACACATACATATCCCCAAAGAAACTGTAGATTTCTGTAAGTAGTTCTGTTTTATATTTTTTCACTAAACATCGAATCCCTTAATAACAGCAGTATCTTAAATGTCTCATCTTAAAAATTCATGTCTGCTCGAGTGTCACTGCCGCACGCTCGAGGCATTTTTTTTCTTTTAGATGTCATGGCAACCGCAAGTTTTTTCTGACTGTTTTGCAGAGTAATCCTGCTTTTGTGTCGGCCTGTACACAGAATTAAAGACACATACCTTGTCAAATGTGCTAATACCCCAGTATTCGTCTCAATCAACGTCATCGCTAAACCAGCTTTGACTTGAAATACAGAAAACCCCTGTCGACAGAACGCTGTATGAATCCGAAACAATTGTTTCTCAAATGAGTTGTTACTTTACCTGGCAGTCTCTTGACTCTTAAAGATTCAACTTTTTAAACAACCACTGGAACAAATCACACACCGATCAAATGTTTAAAAAGCCACAAAGTAATTTGTGGATCACTTCAGATTTTCTCCCAGCATCACAAAGAGGCCTTCTCATATTTATATTTGTAATAACATTATATGTTACCCAGATACAACCTAAATTAATGGCTTTATTTTAGGTAGCAGCATAAACCTTTTCAGGAGTATTTTTCAAAATATCGTGTACAATATGCAGTATGGTGTGAGGCAGATGAATGACATTCTATAAGTTGCCCTCAACCAAATGTTAAATTACACCTACAGACATGGGCTTTCAATTAAAATGTAATTTTAGTTGAATATTACATGAATTGGATTTACTTTGCCAGCAGCTTTGAAGATGTTGAATACTTGAATCGGAATTCAAGAATTTCAAGATTTCTCATTACACTGGCCTGCCAGTGTAGGACATATGTTTTCGTAATGTTTTCACCATAATTGTATGAAATATTCCAAATGTGGTTTTATTAAACTAGAGCTGAAAAAAACAGGAACATTTTTCATAAACCATTAAGTGGAATGTTTCAAGTGACATAGGGAAATGGGTGTGATTATTAATTGGTAAATCATAAATGTAATTCAGAGAAAGAGGATAAGTCAGTCAGGGGAACAAATCAGTCTTATGCCAATTACATCCAAAGTTCTAAAATAAATAAGACACAAATTGGAAGAGCATCTAAATTCTTGAAGACGCTCAGCCTGATTTTATTTACAGTATGTGTACTTTCAGAAAGGTTTTGACAAAGTACTACACAAAAGGCTAATCTTCAGACTTAAAAGTTGTAGAATAACAAGGTATTACGTGTAAGGTATTACAGAGACACAGGTAAATCTGTGAAATACCAGAAATCAATGTTCATAGTCCAATACCCCTTTCTTGCACATTCACACAAATTATTTATGGTGTTTTGTCGTCTTTACTTCCGTCAAGTCTTCTTATGACATGAGGAAAAAGCTAATTAATTTCATTACAGAAAAGTGACATGAAAACAGGCCTCCCGTTCCCCTGAAACTCTGTTCCTTAAAAAGCAGTGTCATGTTCCCAAGGATTTAAAGTCAGATGTGTCACTAATTAAAAACCAACTTATTCTCTGGATCGGTTAATTAACCTTGAAATGTGGAAATGATTGACGTGTATGTGGTCAAGTTAATATTTTAACAGAGGCTTATATGGATTACGCTTGGATTGCAAGTCTTGTCACAAGACTTTGTCTGAAGGATTTCACATCACAAGTGTGGTGAGATCATCAAACCCATAAGTCAATAGCAAGCAAATAAGACAGATGAGTTGAATGGCCTCCTTGCCTTTTGTGTATCATTTCACGTTTCCCATAGTTTCATGTATCAGAACACTGTGTTATGATCAGCTCCATATGCTTTACCTTAGAATGTCAGCCGTCATGTAAATTTTTCAGTGACATTTTAGCTAATCCAATAACTAAACACTAATTTCTTTCTATAATTTGAGCCACAAGCTGGGAAGAATCCATTTACAACGAGAATAAAATATGTAGTCTTACTTTGGAATCTCCTTGCAAGGATTTCTTTTTATTCTCCTTTCATTATGTTCCCACAGCCCACCTACTTGGCACAACACCCGCAATTGAAATCTTTGATCCCTTCCACTAAGTAGCTCATAAATACTGTTTAATATAATTCCGAAAATCCATTAGGCGTTCACGTCAGCTCTCAAAAAACTGAAAAGGCGATAATGAACATTATTATTCTCTCCCCTTAAAGAACATTCAATTATACCCACTCCTGCATCAGCATCATGTCGAACCAGGAATCGGCAGGAAACACAGTGGCTACACAATTCACCAAGACCGAAAACCCCACTTTATTTAACCCCCCCAAAATGCATAATTTAATAATGAGTATTATTAAATTAATTTAATGATAATAAGTAATTAAAACAGTTTCGCTTTATGAGGCTGGTCATCTTAATACTGGAGGAAGCATTACATGTTGGTAGACTGGCTGTTTGTTGTAGGTGTGCAACTTTGAGTTTTAGAGAAGTCAGGCTGAACCCTGGTCCTGAGTTCAAAAGCAACAGAAGCTCAAATATCCAAGACACTATTCCAGCATCCGCTGCTCCTTATTGAAGTATTTTACCTGTACTGGATGTTTGAGATTTAAGCATCAGATACTATACTGTAAACAAATGTTTGACAACTGAGAACACCTTTAACTTGAATGAACACTCTCCTTTTCCGGTATCAATACTATGCTATCATCCAGGTGGATGCTGCATATTGGTGGTGGTGGAGGGGAGTCCCCATTACCTGTAAAGCGCTTTGAGTGGAGTGTCCAGAAAAGCGCTATATAAGTGTAAGCAATTATTATTATTATGCTCACATAGTGATACTAAAAGTTAGTAAACTAATGGGTTAACTGTTCTTTAACTCAACTGATGCTGACAATCCGATTAACTTAATTATAATTGTAATTAATGCAAATAGAAAGATGCACTCAGAATTCAAGAACTGAAATACAAAGAATCATCTTTATTAATGTCTTTTTAAATCTTCTTCTGTAATTACAATTTTATGTTAATCTGAAACAAAACCTCTAATTAGGTGCAAATAAAAAAAAAACATTTTAGCATTTACCTCAAAAAGAAAAATCACAGCACGTTGATGCTTTGTTTAACGTCCAACTCTGATCTGCATAGCACATACAAATAAGTGAAACTAAGACCCACTTATAACCCTATCAAAAACTGTCATTATCACTTAACGGAGACTGGTGAATGTTGCCGATTGATAACGTATTCCACCATACCCTAATGAATGTTATAGAAATGCCTTCTATAACAGTGATCTGCAACCCTGGTTTTGAGGAGACGCAGAGTGTTCTGCTTTTCACTACAACCGAGGACTGAATTAATTCCGCGGGCCAGTGATTCGCTGAACTGGCATAAGTGAACAGGTTATTAATTTCCCTGCGTACCAAGAAGTACGAATGAAATCATAATACCACAGGGCCTGTGTGAGCAGAGGATATCAGCGTTCCTACCTGGCAAGTCGGAAAAGAGAAGGATGCACTCATTAAAGCCATTAGCCAGCAAGCGGTCCCTGAGCTGCTGCAGAATGGCCACGCCAATACAGAAGGGGAAGGAAGAGTTGCCCAGGAGAAGAGTGTCCCAGAGGTGGAAAATCTTGTGCAAGGGAAACACATCTGTGGAATAAGGACAAAAGGAATGGTATTCATAAAAGGCCTATTCTTCAAGCAATCAATTCTTTACTTTCAGAATTTTACAAGCTGCATGGAAAATTATCTGGCCAACTATACAACACATACAGGGGGCATAGATAACAACAGCACACTTGAGTGGGTACTAATATCATCAGTGTGTCCACTACAATCAATTTACATAATTCATTTAGCGGCTGTAGAGTATATCTAGTGCGTATTAGTATTAGCATAATGCCCTCTGGAGCACAAAGCCTTTTCCAAAGTCACATTTTCCTCAAGTTTGCTTTGTTTTCATAGTTATAGTTCACAGTGCACGACTTTCGTGCTATATTTGATGGAATAGATTAACTTTCTCAAGCAGACATTAAACTGTTTATGGACACACAGACAACACGGAGTCAGCTTAGGAAATGAAGATATCCACTAAAAAACAGCAAATTAAACAACATTTTCAGCACACTACTCTAAATTGTCTGGGATAAAATTCGATTAAAGTAAGTTTTTACATTTTAAAAAACAATTTTCACTAAGGAATGGAATTAAACAGTCACAAGAACATGCAGCAGATATATATATACACACTTTCTCTTGAGAAACAAATTCATACACAATGTCACCTCAATATATTCTAATGAAACAGGAACCTGTATTAATATTTGTAATCTGCTGGAGCTCAGGCTGGCAAAGTGCAGGGAAGTAGCTGCAAGAAGAAAACCTAACCAGGCGGAATATATGAAAACCATGCGCTCTGTACAAACTCAACAGGAAAATTGAACCATTAAGCTACTAACAACCAGATGAGCAAGACAGATAGAAAAAGCTTCCTCACAGCTGTGACTTTCCTTATATTTTTACAGTCTGAAATTATTATGGTGAAATTGTATTTATTGTAGGCCTTCAGAGGTTTGGCACCAGTTACTACCATCTATGACAGACTGCACGCCCCAGAAGCAATTTCCTTCACAAATCTCAGAGATTGCATCAGGTATTAATGAGAATGCAGTGCGCCATAAATACAAGCTATCTGAAACTTAAAAGTAGATTTTTTTTTAAATCTCCACATTAAAGGCCTGCTAAAAATTATTTATTGCTTGCTGTCGCCAGAGACTGTTTAACAATCACTAGCTGCTGACTTGGGGAGATGTGGCAGTTCTGGTCTGCAGGATAAACATGTGGGCAGAGTGTGTAACTGCTCAGCTCGGCAGTTTCCGTGACCTTCCCCCGGGAAGCCTAATCAGCTGCCAGCTGGGAATTCTCCTCGCTGGGGTGAGGAACGACATGACTGGCCTGCTGATGACAGGGAAGTGCAGGCCAGGGGTCAGCATCCGCGCGTTGCCTGCTACCAGGCTTTGAATCCAAGGCTCTTGCCACCCTGAAATACCCTGAATAGCCGTGAAAATCATCAGAGCGTATTTAGTTCGCATGGAATTTGACAAGCTTGAGGAAACCAATAACTTGTTCTGTGATGGCATTCTTCAGAGTTTGTAAGTATGACATTAAAATAAAAGAATAAGAAAAAAAAAAACAGAATTAAAATGTATTCTTCAATTGATATCCAGTTTACCGTGTAAACTAAGACTTTAACATAGTTTACAAATGAGAGGAGGCCATTCGGCAGTTACCTGAGAGAAACAATGGTGGCGGTTTCAACAATGTTTGGTTAACTTCTTCCATACCCCCACAACCCTTTTGTGCCACCTATTCACAGTTTTAAACGCCCTTCTTCTAAGTTTCCATTGCTTCTCTGGCTCATGCCTCACTATCGATTCAACATCAACTGCATACAGTCCGTTTTCATATTACTGTAGGTTTTTAAAAAGACATAAGACTGTTAGAAAAATGCTCCAGCCATCTCAACCACAGGATATGAAGAGACAATGACAAGACCAGACTTTGGTAGTGAAGACTCAGGTTTATGTTTTTAAATAGTGCAGGGACACCCAAACTCACACCTGATTGTCATCCCATTGATTGACATTCCTGACTCTAATTATTCCCTTAACTGAACTTTTAATCCCAGAGGTTCACATACTTTTTCCATCAAAGACAATGTTGGATCATTTTGATCAATAAATGAATGAAAAAGTGTATCCTTTTGTGTGTTATTTGTTTTATTGGGTTCTCTTTATCGATTTTTATGACTTAGATGAAGATCTGATCACATTTTAGGTAAAATGTATGCAGAAATTCAGAAACTTCTAAAAGGTTCACAAACTTTCTAGCACCACTGTATACTGTATGTTACAAACAGCCTCACAAAACTCCAAGTAAAACTGCTTTGTCTGTTTTTTGTAAAATACAATATACTGTAGTGTGTTTAACAAATTTAGATTAATTACACAAATAAATACACACATTCTTAAACTATTTTAATGATCATCCCTCTGTATGTTTGTATGTACAGCAAACCAACTTCTAACTGTTAGCACGTCTGCTCTGCGTCTCAAATGAGATAAGACACGCTTGTCTTTGTTTCAAAGGTCATGACACCTACAAAACAGGGAACGGTTCTCCTGACAAGCTCTGGAGCTTCCCAATGGCCTTTCAAGCATGGCAAAGGCAGCAAAACTGCAATTATTCTGTTGTGGTTTAATTGAGCCTCCGTTTACATACGAATGACTTTCATTTCTCAAAGCTGACAATGTACAGATTCGCATAAGAACACAACTATTCCCCTAATGTAAACAATTTAATTTTCTATAACGTTTAATTAGAGATAGTAAAGAGACTTAGCAGAACTATAAAAGAGTGTAGCTGCCAGCTGATATCAAGGGGCAAAATACTTTTTCGCTATACTTTTGAAACTTAAACTTGGAATTGCTGAAAGAGGGATTGATCCAGATTTGTATATTGCAGGTTAAAGCAATAGAATTAATTTATCAATCACTGTAAGAGCTGCAAAAATCCAGCTATAAGCCCACTATATCTGAGAGACCTTGTGGCTTTTTTAGAGAAATATGTGCATTATATTGTACAAGTTATTTTGTATCATGTAAGTAACTGTAATCAAAAGCATCTGATTTCAAAATTGAAATCACTAAAACTATGTCCCTTTTTCCCAAGGTCATATTCACTGAGAGTTCATATTTTCATGTTTCCACATTATATACGCTCATTGTGAGAGAACATTCAGATTTAAGTCTTTAGACGTGGGTATGTTAATACCCCTTTTTTTCTGGATCATTTGCCAAAAGCACTTTCAGCAGGGTGGCAATTGAAATATAGCTCTGTGCACTCCCTTTAAAGGCCCAGGAGACACTACGCAATTCCTGTAAAACTGATTATATAAGATTTAATTGCAGTGGATTGAACTCCATGAATCGAAAGTAATCATGGGCAGTTGTGCAAGGTGAATACTCCACAACAGAGTAAGTCAATCAAGTTCAATCCCATCAGAAAAAGGTGGTTCAGGCAATCTTGTCAGAAAAAAATACGAAATCCGGAGGCAAGAAAAAAGCAAGGATAAGAAGGACAAACAGATTACAACAGACGTTTCTTCCTGCTAGTTTCTGAGGCAAAAGCAATACAGATGTTGATAAAAAAAAACTAATGTAAAGCACTGTTCTATATTCTGCAGTAATACACTAACAATATGGATCCTAAAAGATTATCCAAATGGCAGAAAAAAGATGATGTAACTAATTATGCAATGAAGGAAAGTCTTAACTTCTGTTTGCATAGTAGCTATACATTGTACATTTCATATGTTTGAATTGTACCAGCTGCTACTTTATTTGAAGTTTCTCTCCAAGAAAACCTAATTTCTTCTCTTTATCTTACACACTTTTCAACACATGAGCGTAAACTGTGTAAAATATTTAATAAAAATGACAGCTGTATTCGCAAATTATCCTGTGTACACAAGTATACGCTGCAGACTGAGAACCTCAGCAGCACCAAACCATTCCAGGACCTTTAATATTAGAATATTTTTATTTTTTAACCAAGTCACTAGTGAATTCTCTTGTATAATGAGAACTTGGGAGAGTACCCATTCAGAGAGCAGAACGCTTTTCCAAAGACCGATCTGCGAGAACTACACTGATCAAAAATACAACACCTGTACCCCACTTGCAAATTCACAGCTGGACAGGAGTATGGAGCTCTAACTAATACCCCATGGTGCTGCAATTAATAGGGCATCTAGATATATAGCACAGTGTGATTTTATTTTAGTTATTGTTTGTTCTACATTAAGAACAGCCTACTCGAAACCACAATTGTATTCATTTTCAATTATTTAAACATGTCTCAGCATCACTCTACAAGCTATATACAGAAGCAGAAGAGGACACTTACTGTGAGCTGAACCACTGGTGGTTTTAAACAGAGACGACCGCTGCCACGTTTTAAAACATTTCAGTAACAAAAAGGTAACACTCATTTCAATCAGCATTTTTTCATTATTTATAAATTGTCACCCTTAAGGCTGTTGTTTTTGAGCTTTTCCTGATAACCACCTCTGTGCTTCCCATAAAAGAAGACTCGAGTGACACACTGAGGCTTTTGAGGACTGTATGAAGCATATTCACATCACACTCTCATGACACCTCATGCTCACTGAACAGAGTAGAAAGGCAGAAAGCGTGATAGATACTTAAACCTATATGAAATCTAACAGGAACAAAAGGAGAGGGTTTTCAAAATGAATTGAGCTATACTCACGTGTAAACATTGTCAGGAACCATGGAATGGCATACAGCTATAGAAGGGGGAAAAAACAAAATTATTTCACACAAGACTTCAATGGAAGAATGTCTTTGCCTCTTGTGCTTGGAGATGCTGAATTCACTAAAAGACTTAAAAATACAGTAATATGCTGCAAAGAAAACCCATACTCAATGGGACTTTCATGTTTTTCCCCTTTAAAGAAGAAAAAAAAAGCCTATTTAAAAAAATACAGAATCACTAAGGGACTGCTGAGGAACGGGCAATTGCCAAAATCAATAAACATCATTATAAAGAAAAACCCGTCGAGGCACAAAAAAGATGAGTCGCCGAATATTTCATCTGTACTTTTATAAATTTAAAAAAACATAAATCTTGTGTTATCAAAGCAAAGCACAAAATATCACTTTAAGTAAAAACAGAAAAGATACATTTTATTGAAGACATTGCACAAAAACCCAACATTGTCGCAAACTTACAAAGGTGAATTCACCTAACTTACTTTAACTTTAAATTACCTGGACTATTTTGACCTGTGATTTAAAGCCCCACTTGATTTCAGTGTGTCTGTTTGGAGCAAACTTAGACTGTATATTTGTTAATCCAACAAAAAGACTGAGTGGGAGAATTTATAGGAAAACAGTGCTGACAATTTCTTGACGGATGTACACTGCAAATGTTCACTGTGAGTTATACTGTCACCTCAACTGCCTTAACCCAAAAGAAATAAATAAGGAAGTCTGAGAGAGGAAACTATAAAGGTTCAGTGACTCACATCCCTTTTGTAAACACCTGTTCTAATATTACTTAAACCTTGGGTGGTTTTTAATTTCGAAAAGCATGGAATTTATTTCATCTGCTAATTGATAGGTGAAAATGTCTAGCTTCCCCGAGACAGATCCAGACGACCTCCTAACCCAAGGCAAGTGGAGAAGTGCCAGGTCTTTTTAATGGAGCAAGTTTCAATTTTAATGGTGAGAGACTAATCAGGATTTAACCTGATTGGGTTACCTGAAGCATGAATGTCAGGTTACAAAAACAATATTTTCTTCTTTACAGACTACAGCCAACAGCACAGCCTCCCACAAAAGATTTATATCAAACCTTCTGCAGAAAAAATAGGTTTTAAAAGATTAGATCAGCAAACTAAATATCTCTGCTTACTAAGATTTAAACATAAGCATGTAATGCAGTAATGTATGTATAATGTAAGAGAAAAGGACATTTTGTGCTTTACACAGACTTCAGAAATTAAGAAATCCTTTCCTTCGGCAGGTTTTGGAGAAAAACAATTTAAGTGACTAGAATGAAAAGTAACAGCAAGTTTAGTGCTTGGTAATTGAATTTCTTGATAAACTGCTTTAAGAAGAACTTTCTAATACATTTTTAATCATTAAAGATTGTGAGCAACGTAACTCCTGACTTACAATCATCCTACTCCCCACCTCACAACCCTTGTTCATCTAATTCTGGTGTCCTGTCTGTCCCCCAAGCCCGTCTACACTCTATGGGTGATGGAGTCTTCTCCTGCTGCGCCCTAGAACTGTCCCTAAGGATATCAGAGAGTCACCTTCTCTGAGCTCTTTCAAATCTGGACTCAAAACCTTCTTCTTTAGACAGGCTTTTATTTAACTGGTTCTGCATCTGCCCCTTTGCTTTCATACTGCATTGCAAACCTGTAAATGACTGTAATTGTGTGCTCCTGCTGCCTCCCCTCATTGATGACTTTTTTACTCACTAAAGCACTGAGAAACCACCTGTAAAGGTGCTATATAAAATAAAAATATTCTTTTTTGGCACTTTTGTACACTGCAGTTCAATCAACTAGAAAACTGTTTACTATATATGTACAGTATATACAGTTCATTAAAACTGTTGTTTCTACAAGAGTTCTTGCAGAGTTTGCTGCGTTCCCTGAAAGCCCCCACAATATGTTTTTCCTGAGGTCCCAAAGTCTTTAGCTTAATCTTCTGGAATTACTTCAAAGGTGAAAACCGCACACCCCAAATCAAGGCCTGCCTGAAAATGATCCCTGGCCAGGCACCAGTTTTAATCCCAGTCACAAGAAATGATACTTAAACACAAATTAAACGAAATAACAAGATGACATCATTCTCATAAAACTGCACTCATTAAACCACACAAGTAAATTAATGTTTGCCTGACTTTCACAGGAACAGAGAACGACTGTTGACTGCAGTTGCAGTATCTCCTACTTTATTTTTCCCTCCAAATAATTTCTTCACAACCATTCTTCACTTGCTAGGGGACTTCTTTCCATCTCTTAACTGCACAGCTACATGAAATACTTCATGAGTGACGCTGATAGATAAAGTTTTGGAATTTTATGTATGCATATTAGTAGCAACAGGAATAAATGTTTTTATTAAATTAACCTGTATTATATTGACTTGAGTAAGAATGCCATTGCCTATCCCACAGTTATGTTATTCGGCATAAACAGTAATACAAATTGCTTAACATTTCAAAGAAAATCAAATTCTATGAGAATTTAATGCATAATGATGCCACAGAAATCATATTATTTTATGACTTTGCATCACAATCAAACTTGCAAAGCACAAAAAGCATGCATGATATCCACGATAAAAAGCCCATGCACCTCATTAGCCCTGTGAATTGAGCATCTTTATTTACTGGACAGTTTTAGTTTTAGTTTTAGCCTAGGGTTAAAGTCAACATGGAAAGTGGTGTGATCCTAAACTCTCATGGACATGAAATACATCACCAGACACTGAGAACATTATGACAGGATGGCAGACAGTGAATGACAAGGTGGGTTCAGGCCATGACTGAGCCTGGCTTCTTGGACTTTTGCCTGGCTGCAAATATAACCTACTGTATTGCCCCTTACCTCCCACTTATCAGTGCATTCACAGTAAGGAAAGAGCTCACCCCTGCTTAGAGTACTTACATCTGGTATAAATCCAATCTCATTAAGATGGTTGCTGAGCTGCGGGTCATGAAAAGCTATCATCTGGGAAAACACAGTCAGGTACTCTAGAAGAAGATCAGAACAGAGATGAGTGCTGAGTGCAAGCTGTCATTACTGATCAAAAATGTAACTTGCGGTGTGATTCAGCTGGAAAGTACAGGATGTGACAGAACCTTTGAATTCCTGAAAAACCTGTGAGGCTTTCCCTTACTTAACATTTTGCTCTTCAGCTCCACGCAAGCCTTATTTTATTCAGTGTAACCGCACACCATCAATGAATCAAAAAAAAAATGGGGAAAAAATTCATAGCACTGACAAAAATCTCTCTCAAACATGGCAATCAAATTAATGATGTGAAGTCTTGGTATTTGTATCCTTTTGGAATAGTATTGCTTTATGTGATTTCTGAAAATAAAACTTTTTTTTCCACCCATTAAGAATCCTATTTATCTAACAACCCTATAGAATAGTAATAGGACAGTACATTTTTTTAGAGTTGGCTTGCCTGCAAAGACTTTTGTACCTGCAATGGGAGAATGATTACTAGCAGATATTTCACTGTCAGAGCTATTCGTCTTTTGAAATCCTGTTCCACAGTGCCTTATGGGCAAGTTAGCACTGTCTGAAGGACCAGTGCATCTCTCACTGACATCACTGCAAGTCTGCAACGGCCCAGCAAGTTGTAATAGTCCCTGTTTCACAGAAACCAAGATGACTCTGACTGACTCACGATCATCTTATCCTGGAGGTGCACTACAAATTATATGGCGGCAATTGAGAGTTTCACCTTACAGCTGGTTAAGTGGGATGATCCAGGATCGAACTAATAACAACTGGGCCGTTAAGCTAAACCTGGACATCTTTTGTTTGAGCCATCTGGGTTATCAGCTAAATTTTAATGGAACTGTTTTGAAAAGACAGGGGTCAAAGACGCACAATCTAAAAAATCTTCCCAAAAAGGAACACAAAATGGGCAAAGGCAACACAGATGGCATATCAATTAAAGGAAACATTAGGTAAAAATGAAAACTGTGCATTCTAACTGCAACAAGCAAATTACATTATTTTATATTTACGACTCAAAGAACTTTAATTTTTAGATCTGTTGAATGTTTTAAGTACTTGGTGATTAAAAGAGATACTTGAAAAATGAAAGCAATTATTTTTCCCCGCTTACCTTCAGCTTAATTAAAAAAAAACAAGGCAGGCAAAGAACAAAAAGAAGTGAAATGACGTGCAATTAACGCAAAGAAGGCAATACCATACCAGACTGTTATTATGTTCCTTTAATGTGGAAATCGTAATCGGCTTTTAGGTGGCAAAAGGCACACTAGATATTATGCGCATCATCAGGCATCTAACATATTAGTCAATTAGAGCAGAACAGACGCTTGAACAAAGCATTATACCACAGTTGGCTCAGGTGCAGTATGGTTTGTCTCTTACTGTGTCTCATCCATGCAGAGACTCTGCTTTTGATGCTCTCATCATTGTCTTCCATTTAATTTGAGCCCCCTTCACAGACTGCAGGCCTTTAAGCTGCACGAAAACCTCCAGCCGCGCAGGGGAAATGGGGAAACAACCAGTGCTGAAAACAGCGCTGGAGGTAACGGAGACAAATGGCAGTATTTTCTTTCTTCATAAACTGATTTTTCGTTCTAATCAGTAATGAAACACAATGAGGCTCTGCCGAATGACGTGATGCAGTATTGCAAAAGCATCTTCCGCTGTGATTTTCCTTGCAGGTCGGTGGCGAGGTCAAAATCAACGGGCACTTTAATTTTGAAACGGCACGCAGTTTTAATCCATATAGCACACACTGTGTGCTGTGCATGTCTTGCAATCCATAATTACGTTTGAAATAAAGCTTCTGTGAAGAAACGGTAATACCTTCCGCCCGTCAGTAAATATGTACTGACACGACCAGTCTTCTGCCTGCGGAGATGAGGTTCTCACCTTGAATGACATGAGAGTTGTCCTTCAGGAAGAAGTTGTAGAGGTATTTGGGAATAAATGCAGACATACAGGCGTAGGCTAAAGCTAAGGGAGAATAAAAATAATGTTAGGAAAGTAAGATCCAGCTTTGGATCTCTGGTAAATAATTATAATTATCACCTTGTATTTTTTATTATCTGCTGGCTTATTTGGAAGTTACCTTCAAGCGTTCATTTTATTCTGCTGAAAATGTATCAATGTCACCAGTCCAAAATGGGAAGAACTTTGTTTCAATGGCAAGTAGATCATGCTGTTTAGTTTCATGGCTAATACTGTGGCTTTTTGCATACATAGCAAAAATGTAAGAAAACGTACATTTCTGAAGAAGTGACTTTATATCCATCCAGTATGGTATAATAATATGGAACACATAAAACTGGGAAGAATATAATAAAATAGAAAAGAAATTATATCCCCACCTTCATTGTTGAAATTCAGGTACAAGAACGGTGCACACAGAGAATCCAGCCCTAAGACATTACAGAACGACAAAGAATCATAAAATGATTCTGTTTATATAAAACATGAACTATAATGAATGACATTAAAAGAAACAGATAAACACATTTAACTTTACACATTTAATTCATATAGCTTTTTATCATGGGAAAGTTTGAATGCCGATAAATAATGAATCAATTTATGGAATAGCTGTCAGCAGTTCCACAACACACAAAACAAATCTAGACAGACTATGAAAATTGAGGAATAATTTAATCATCCTGTTATATTACAACTTAAAATTGTAATATTAACAAAATAAAATAGAATACTCTATAGTATAGTATACATTTCCTCTCATGCAGCTTTGAAAGCAAAGTGCTTCACATGAGTGCCCTCTAGTGGCTGAACTACCTGTCAAACACTGAAACCGGCCCTATCGAAATGCCAGATCATAGGACAACTGGAAGGATTTAAGAGTTTATTCTTAAAATCTACCATCTGATTTGCTATGATGTGAATAACTGTTACCTTTTCTTTGTTCTTTCTACTGACAAGCATGGTAGTGACTGTGAGAGAAGGCAGTATTTCACAACAAAAACGTTTTAAAAGTTGGCTTTTCTGAATATATGTATTTTGTATTAACTGTCTTTAAACTGAATTTTAAGGCATTTTGTGACAATATATTGTACATCTAAGCGTGTTAAGAAATCCACAGTAATCCATGTAATGTAGACTAGCAAAGCAAATAATTCAACTTTCTTCTCCAATTTTCATCTGATTTCTAGCTCAAATCAAGTTTAACAAGATTTCTTAACAGACATGAAACGAAGGTTCCACAAAAGGCTAAGGTTACCACATGTCTAGCTAACTTGCTTCAAGGCAAAGTCAGAGAAATTAAAATGAAATCCCAGTGCTCAATTAGTGCAATTAGTCTGTCTTGAAGAATCAAAGAAAACACATGAAAATATATATGTACTTAAAAGGTGTTGTGTAATTGAATATGTCTCTTAAAAAAATTAGCTTAAAAGTAACCGTTTAAAGTGCAAAAGTGATTTTGTCTACAGAGGTACTTGTGATTCAATGAGCAGATAAAAGTTTAGGCATTCATGTTATTTACTGAAGAAAGGGAAACTCCATCATATCAAATCAGCAGCCTTCGGGAGATAATACGAGTGTCATAAAATTACAACACAAAGTCATTGAACAGTCTAGTTGAATACATAAAGCAAGACCTAGAGCAGAATTTTGTGTACAGTTTTAGTCAGCATATTAGAAAAATATTGCTGCTCTGAACAGCAACTAGATACATTCCCCAGGTGTAAGGATGAAGAAATTATTTTTTGTCTGGAAAAGAAACTGCTTGAAAAGAGAAGGGACCCATTCCAGTATTCACGTCTTCAAAGGCACTGACAAAGTCCATGGTAAATTCCCAGTTATACGCAGGCTCCCTAGCCATGCTATTAAAGACAATACCCTGGATTCTTTCAAAAAACGGCTACTGTGGTTAAGATCCTCTGATGAGTGAGCTACTAACAAATAAGGTAGATGAGGTAAATGCCTTCGTTTGGTTTGCAACCTTTCTTGTGTTTTTAGGGTGTAGAGAAGGATATCTTGTGAGAAACTATTACAGAGGAGCATCCTTGCAGTTTCTCTGGGTTAGTTACAAATAAGAGGAGGCTGTTTGGCCCATCTAACCCGCTGGATACATAGCAGCAAATAGATCAGTTTCTCATCCAGCAATTTCATGAAAGAAGCCAGGGTTTCAACTGGGTAGGCTGTTCCACACTCCCACAAACCTTGGTCTAAACAAGTGCCTGCAGTTTCCGTTTTTAAATGCAGTATCCACTTGTGACTGCTAGCTCATGTTTCTCTATTGATACTGAAGGCCTCCACTGTGTTGACACAGTGCCTGTAAGGGCCTGAAAACATGGATCTGGGCCTCCACAGTCTTCTTCGTTCAAGAGGTAAAAGGCTCAGGCTGTAGGGATGGATAGGCCCACCTTGCCAGTAGACGAGGTCAGGGTGGGACACCACCCAGGCTTTCAGCACGCGCCTGAACTTCACGTGGCCCTGAGGGGAGGACAGCAGCTCGTCATACTGGTGGCATCTCGGAATATCCACCTCGATCTGTGGAGTAAAAGGAGAGGCACTGCATGCCGGCGGGAATATGTGTCTCGTCGGCAGGTCAGAAGATGGCGACCATTAGAAACCTCCATCATCACAAGCCTTTGCGTAATCAGTTAAGACACCTGCTAGGACTAAAGGCTCCCCCTTTAGCTCAGCTATCGCCCCTCTCCTCTCAGGCTTGGTTAACATCGTTCACTGACTGTGCCTGGGATTTCTTAAATAGTGGCACTCAACCACAAATGGGCAGCAAAGGAGCAAGTAAAGGTTGACTCCATACTGAAAGGAAAGGAGACGCAATGTTTAGGCCAAGGAGCCTTGTTCAGGTGTGTCACAGCGTGGAATCAACCTTTACCTGTTCCTCTGCAGCCTGTGTTTGCATGCTGACACAGCTACCTACTTGAACGTCTTTGACACAATTGGGCAGGCCAGGGTATACATACTTCTTGGTTTTATATGCAGTAGCTCTTCTGAGCTTTCAGTTTTGTCCGTAAGAGATTAATCCCTCCAGCATCCCTCCAGCATCTCTTGCTAAAACACAGTGTAGCTTAGAGTGTCAGAAAGTGAACAAAAATACAGGAGATGTATTGGAAGGAAACATTTACCACCAAACCGATGCAGGGGCCGTACAACTAAGGCTGATCTGACCAGCTGGCATTTTCAAACTGAGCCTCGGCGTAAATGTAAAATAACTGGCGATTCTGAATTTATTTCAAAATCTTCATAAGTGTCCTGCCTAAAATTCCAAACTGCACAAAATTATAGAATCAATTTTTCCAGAAATAGGCTATATTATTGTGCCTATTATCTAGAAATGTCTAAAAAGAAAAAAGTATGTCTTTACGAAAGCAATAGTAGAAAGAAGCTATGGAAGGGACAAAAAGGAGTAGATTTTGCATGATTGGAAAAATACTTTTAATATTTTGGCTATTGTGTAAAATCAACCCTTGCTTCTCATTACATGCCTCAGAAATTAATATTCCCCTATTTTTTTTAATTTACGCTGGGAGTAAGTCAAGTGATCTAGTCTTAATAAAGGATGGATCTAAATAAGTATGACATTAAGCAGATTTTAAAGTCTTATACATTTGACAAGTTACTGTATATACTGTATTGTTGCTTTTATCTGACCAAAGAGCAAGACAGCCCAGCAATAGTACCTGACGGTCTGTGGGAATTGGTGTGTCCTTGTCTATGGCGTCATATTTAGCTTGAATATCCCCCTGAAAGCAGAAAGTTTCACATATGAAGTAAAATCAGTTTTCTGCGAGTAGCAAAATATTGATATTTGGAGAAAGAACAAAAGTCACCAAGTCCATTCAGGTTTGTTCATTGTAAAATTAATATGACTTAAAAACCTTGTCACTTGATGAGCCCCTAAGCAGGTTTTATCATATAGTCACTTTCCCTCCACAACTTCAGGAAACTAATTTGCTGATATAATTCTACAGTGATTCAAATAAGAGCAGAAACATTGTTTCATATATCTGACTCTTGTTGAATTATTAGCTTATTTCCTGAACTCAAATGTTTAGTCTATGGATCCAAGGAGAGGAGAGGTCACAGAACTAGTCTTTACAGAATAAGCATGTGAATAAGCAAGACAACAATTTGATATCATCTAAGATAAGATCACTTTATTAGCCATATACAATTTTTTGCATTAGGAATTTGTCTTTTTGCGTACCCCAACGTGCTCTCCATGAGACACACAGACGGGGAGAGAAGCTTGGGGTCAGTGTGCATGATCAGCCAATTATACGGCACCCCTGGGGCAGCTGGGGTTAAGGGCCTTGCTCAGGGGCCCAATGGAGTAGGATTCCTCTGCTGGCTGCGGGATATGAACCAGCAACCTTCCAGCCACAGGCACAGATCCTTAGCCACAGAGCCACTGCACCGCCCCCATCTGTCCACACCCACACACTTATAACCAAGGCCAATTTCGCCAGAATCCAATCAACCCACCAGTAAGTCTTTGGATAGTGAAAGGAAACTGGAGCACCTGGAGGAAACCCAAGTTAACACGGGGAAAACATACAAACTCCACACAGATAACACCCCAGGTCCGGAAATGAACCCAGGGCCCCAGCACTGGGAGGCAGCAAAGCTAACCACTGTGCCACGGTGCCACCCTTTTGACAAACCAATCCAATGGAAAAGCTGAAGAACCAGAGACGGAATCAGCACCCCATGACTCACCTCAACACCCAGCAGAGCGGCCCATGCCAGGCCCCTGAGAAGCGGGGGGATGTCAGCTCTTGCTTCTTTCCAGACCTGATTTTTTTTATAAGGGTACGCCTGTATCGAGAGAAACAGGGCAGTACCGACGTTATCCCCAAAAATGCCAACACTTAAACATCCGGGGTCTCCTGCTGCATATTGTCCGAGACCTACCTTGAGGAGCCTGTCAAAGAGAATGATCCTGTGGAGCTGATACTCCGTGTCCCTTTCCCGTATAATGAGGGGCAAAGTGGCGACTGCAGACAGCTCGTTGCTGCTGTTGGACTGGGGCAAACTGGACTGCCTGAAATGACGTGCGAACCAGGGGAGACGTCTTACATGCAAGGTTATTTAATAATAATAATAATTAATAATAATTGCTTACACTTATATAGCGCTTTTCTGGACACTCCACTCAAAGCGCTTTACAGGTAATGGGGACTCCCCTCCACCACCACCAATGTGCAGCATCCACCTGGATGATGCGACGGCAGCCATAGTGCGCCAGAACGCTCACCACACATCAGCTCTCAGTGGGGAGGAGAGCAGAGTAATGTAGCCAATTCATAGAGGGGGATTATTAGGAGGCCATGATTGGTAAGGGCCAATTGGAAATTTGGCCAGGTTACACCCCTACTCTTTTCGAGAAGCGCCCTGGGATTTTTAATGACCACAGAGTCAGGACCTCGGTTTTACGTCTCATCCGAAGGACGGCGCCTGTTTACAGTATTTCATAGCTGACCCAGCATTGCATCGCTGCAAGCGCTAAAAATGATGCTGAAACAAATGCCAGGAGCTCGAATGCACACGTTAAGTAATTTGTGCATGTCCCTGTGAAGCATTCTGCATGCGATTATAATGTCTTTTTTTTTTAACTAAAACCGATTTTCCTTTTTCAGAACAAAAAGATGGTATGAAGAGACAGTGAGCAAGCATTATAGAAAAGACAGTGAGCAAGTCTATCCTTGATCTGAGCCCATTCTATCTTTAATGTCTATTATATCAGGTTACAGAAAAGAAGTCATTTGATAACAATATACTCACTCATCTTCCAATAGCGGATAATAAGCTTCTCCAGCAACATCTTTCAGTCTCTGAAACAAGCCAAGAAAAGAAATGGATTACAAGATTCGTTCTACTTATCTTCTCGCAAATTCTAATTATTTTTCCACACTTCAAGTCTAGGTAACCAGAAATGTAAGGAAAAGGGACATTCTAATATACTATAGAAATTTCTCAGAATTTTCTTATTTTATATTTCAAATGAAAAAATATACATGGTTTCTCTAGGAAGAAAATAGACTGCCAGTAAAAAGAACTCTTACGTTTTTAAGTTGGCACAGCGACAGTGTCACAGTTGTGTCATCCAAGAGAAAACTCCTGTCTCTTCCTTGACCAAAACACTCCCCATCCTCTAAAACTAAACTTCAAAAGAGAACAAAAAAATAAATTGTTAAGGGCACCTAAAAAAAGCTTTAAACTAGCTGTTGACTGGGAACTTTTCAACTTTTCAAACCTGAAAAATACAGTTAATAAAAAATATTTCTGAAGCAGAAAAGATTCACAAAATATATAGCATTGCGCGTCATAACATTTGAATTGATCTGTTTTAGAAGCATACCTATAACACTTCATGTTATCGTTCGTATCCAGTGAAAACATTATGTTATTACTTTGCATTTACAGCTAACATTGTGTCCTTACATGGTTGTTTTTCCATCTGAAAAGTGAGAAACTTGGCCAGAAGACTCTCATTAAACAGGGGAAACAACGACCAGATCTCGTCACATTTTTCAGAAACTCACACGATTTGTGAAGAAATAAAATGTCAGTATCAATCAAAGATCTAGAAACTTTTTCTCCAAATAAATTGAAAGAGAAATGAGTCAAAACTCTTAGCTCAAATTAATTACAGCAGCGTCAGCTATTATCGATTTCACCACCCCATCACTATCTGTAATTGAGTGTTAATTAAATACATTCCAACTTACTTGGGCAAAGTGCAGACAGGAGGTTTGGACTGGATTATTTCTTTATTAGTAAGCTCTTTCTCCAGATCTCCTCCAGCCAGGCACCACAGGTAATAGACCTCATCAATACATCTCTCTGCCAAGTAGTCCTCTTCTTCACCTGTCGGTGGTAAGTCACAGGCACTTCAAACATGGGATTGCTCTGCTTACCATTTAATTCTTACACTAACCCAAAGAAAGAATTATCGAATGTCTAAGACTGAGATGGAATATTTTCACTCTTACAGTCACCAAAGAATGATTTTCTTTGTATTTTCAGAATGGCGTGCATGTTTAAAAAATCACTAACAAAAAGTCAAAATCAAAAGACCAACCCTCACAAAAGGAAAAAGAGTTAATCTGATAGCACATCACTAAATCTGACTTTTTTCATTATTTCCTGACAATATATCACTTCAAAACTATACTCTATGCTTCTATGATCTGGACAGGACAGAAAAAAAGCAGACACTGTGTGGGGAAAAACCTCTGTATCAAGATGTGAGAAAGACGACAAGAGATAAAACTGTTGGAAATGAGTGGCATCAATAAGACTTCCTAAATATAAAGACGACAGACCCTGGCACAGCTCTCCAATGTCTTCAGGGAGGTCTAAGCGAGCACAGCGCAGGGAAGAAGAGAAGAGGCTGACTGGCTTCTGGAAGGGTTTGTAGTTGGAGGATATCCCCTCGAACACGCTGTCTCTCAGTAGTTCAGCAGGTGTAGGCCTGCAGCAACAGGAAACCCAATTCAGCTACTAAACAGAAAGCAGTTTAATAACAGTCCTTAATGTTGCTGGCAGACAAAGTTAGCATGGATGTGATAATAGCCTCTAGAGCCTGAAAAGGTAAAAGCTGAAGTATTAAACAGAACTATTTCAGTTTATCCCCTGTTTTCATATGCTAGTGTCTCTTCTATTCTGGTCCATACTGTACTGTATGTGCAGGGTTTTCCGATAGTACCAAGAGTGGAAACTTAATTTTCATTTTACAGCACGGTTATTTTTTCTTCAGCTAACTCTGTATGCATGACTGTCAATGCCAAAGTATTCTATTCCATTAACAATCAATTAAAAAAAAAACTTAATGATGAACTAGTGAATATTGAAATAATTGTCAAATTTAATTTTTTCCAAGTGCAGTGCACTCATTTATTTGTTCTGGAGATTATACCAAAGACAATTAAAATGACAGCAAGTGAACTGAGTATTTGCGTGCTTAAAGACAATCAATATGCTGGTCTTGTTAATCTTGGCTTGAAATCAATAAAAGTCTTCTCCGTTTTTAATGTAACATTGTTATGTGTAGTGTTTTGGAATTCACGCGCCATTAAAAAAAGAATTGGCCAGAAAGGCTATATATTCCTAAAACCATATATGTTTACAAAGGAACAATACGTTTGTAATACAAAAATTGTGATAAATAAACATTGAACCATAAGCTTCATAATCAATCACTAATAGTTCTTCCTTCTTGTGGTGTCTACATAGGGAATTGAAATGCACAAGCCAAAAGAAAAACAAAACAAATCTGAGGTGAAACATGTAATAAAATCATACTGGACAGTCACCTTTTAGATGGAAGAAATGTAAGGCATTTCCGCAACAAAGCTACAACATTCTCAGGCAGCTCCTAGAAGACAAAACAATGTCTACGTTATTTACTTTCTCATTCTACCACAACATATATAAATATTAGTCAGCATACATTTGAACTTATATAAACCACTGTATACAACAACACCATAAAACAAAATTGTCAGGACATAACATATCATTATATTAGGAAAATAGAAATCTTGAAGGAGTGCACAATTGTTATCACAAATGACTAAAATCTAAATCGGTCTTAATTTCGGGGACATGCCCATACAAGAAAACATTTGGCAATCCTGTTGGACCACGAAAGCTAACCAAGCTTACAAATAATAAACAAACCTTTATAATTTCTAAACATCCATGTTCTTCAGCCAAAACGGTAACAATATCATCCATGCAGCCTGAAACACAATAAGGGAAATTAGCGTATATGTTGCTTACTGTAGTATTGAGTTACATAACATATTAGGCTTGCTTTTTCATTAATGCTAAAGATTAATTGTAATTACAGCCACCAGTCTTACTCATTTGGAATATTGAAACTTTTTGTTTATCAGTATATAAGTGTTTTTTTAAGTCTAAAACAACAAAATACAAATTCCAATAAGAAAGATGAATGCTAAAAGGTATTTAGTGCATCAATTTACTGTTATTACTATTTATCTATTAAGGTGGCTGATGCTGTTTTACAAAGTGAGTTACATCTGTACACATCTACAAAGTTGGGCACTGGAGTATTAATAGTGAAGTCCCTTGTTCAAGAGTACAATAGCATTATTCCACTCAGGATCTGAATTCATAAACTTCCTACAAAGAGTCCAGAGCCCAGACATCTACTACACTCTAGAAATGATAATGTCATATCAACACTCAAAGCTGCAAAGTTAGGATGAGCTAAGGTGATCAGTGTTATATGCGACCTGATAACTCTATTCAAAATGCTTCAACTTCCACTGAAAAAAGAAAAAAAATAGAACAATCATTCTGAATTAGAGAAGCATAAACACTCACTTTTAACATGACCTTATGAATATCAGCAACTTACCCAAATTCAGAATAAATTTTAATCGTTCACTTATATCAATAGTCTGCAGCAATCTTCTGCCCTAAAAATAACAAAGTAAGGCATCAATAACAGTATATTAATGAGTGAAACAGGACAAAGTGGGTTTGAAAGATATGTTCTTTCAAAACTCATACTTTACTTTTAAAACAAATGACAACAATTAATCAAAAAAACTAAAAAGCTTATGAAAGCCAGTGCCATGATCTTTATATATCCTTATCTCTGAAAGCTGTACAATGGAATCCATTTAAGTGGCTTGGTTTAACAAGTGATACATTATAGAAGCAAGTCTATATGAAACATTCAACACTAAAATTAGATAAGTTACAAGTCTGAGGAGCCTTTGTATTCAGTTGTATAGTGGGACATGTGCCAGCTGCAGAGCTGGGTTATTAGCGATTTATAAAATTCTAAGTGTAATGTAGAGCAAAATAATAGCTCCCATACAAAACATGATTAATTGGCACAGCGCTTATCCCACAGAGCCTAGTTAGCTTCATAAATCTAGCAACTGTATTTTTCCTAAAACAGTTAGCTTCCCAGGACTGTATTTATCATTGTAAATGTAAAATATTAATTAAAAAAGGTAAGATGAAATTAATACTTTTATCGTCTACAGACTCCAAAGGTCTCGGCATAAAACAGATAAGACGCGTAAGTGTGATTTACGATGGAGTGGGATATAAAAGGTGTCTCAAGACAAAGCTTTTTTATTGTACCTTTTCTTCCCCTCCTCTGTAAACTTGAAGCTGTCAAGTTACTGTTCATAACTCAGGAAAATGTTGTACATAGAGCATAAAAATAGTTGCCTAGACCACACCATGCTTTTACCCATTGACTTGATATGTGATAAATGCAATTCAAGTAGCTGCATTTAAACTATATCCTCTGTCATCAGCAAACTCATGTGCAGTAATGTAAAATTAACACTGAATTAACTAAACCTTAAGATCTGGAGAGTACACTGCAGGAAACACTTCAATAATCCACTTTGAAAGTTAATGGAAACAGTGAGACAAATGCAGAAAAAACATCTAATTTCATTTTTTTGACCATGACAATTCATGATCACCTGGGGATCGTTGTATCGACAGACCTGGCTGGGACAATTATGTTTTAAAACTCTTAAAACTTCATTTTGGGCAGCATGGTGGTGCACTGCTGACTCACAGCGCCTGCCCTGGGTTCAATTCTGGACCTGGAGTGCTATAAACATGAAGTTTGTGTGTTCCCTGTTCGTGTGGGTTTTCATCGTGCGCTCCAGTTTCCTCCCACTGCCCAGAGACATACTAGTATGTTCAATGCTACTGTTTTTTAGAAGGGGGAAAAGACCTACAAACATATCAACAAATATACTGTGTACAGAATATCACAAATCTGCAACATTCATAGCACATTATCCTTGAGACATTTCTATGGAGGGCTTGTTCAAACAAAACTAAAAATTTAAGATTTTTTACATCATTGTCGTTTAACATAACATAATAGTTCTACTCAGATTTGGTTTTGTGTTTGAGAATGTATTATTTTTTTAAACTTCTATAGCTTTCCATGTAGTGACCCACAGGGTAAAAGACAACATTATCTATAGCATCACCTATCTTTACTATCAATCTAAAGTATTACAGCAATTCCCACTATATCTACTTGCGTACATGCGAATTTAGCCTGAAAAGAAAAGATTTCCATTAAAAATAACCCTTATTTTTCCTCCAAACAATTTTAGAATAAAACATACTAGCATTATAAATACCGTACTAAATGATTTGGGAGTTACCGACTTGATCTGTAAACAATTTTCTGAGTACATACAACACACAGCTCGAAGAGGAGGATTCCCAGGGACCACACATCTGTCTTGGGCCCCGACGGGAGAGGAGTTTCATTGCGGGAGGGATCATGGGGGTGGAAGGTACCCTGGGCGATGACTTCAGGGGCCAGGTAGGATGGGTATCTGCAAGTAAAACGCACAGCGTAACGCCACAGGCAGCTTGTACAGATAGTCCCGCATGCCTGTCACAGCACAGCTCAAACTACAAGTTGACCATGAAACTATTCAGAGTGCAAACATGAACAACAATAATTAACAAGAAGCACACTTTGCTTCTGTCTTTTTATTTTGTAGTGGATTTTGTTTGGCTGAGTGAACCAGCAAGCCTTGTATGCCTTTCGTATACACAGACAAAAGCAAGATCACCGTTCACCTGAACATCCCTCAATGACTAATTAATGTCACATAATTTGCCAAACCGCTTTATACCATACGGTGTTGTGGGAAGCCGGAGCCTACCTGGCAAGCAACAAGCGCAAGGCAGGGTACACCCTGGAAGGGACGCCAGTCCATCGCAGGGTAAGTGCAAGCCAATCATACATGGGGACAATTTGGAGGCCATGGTAAAGGCTGAGGGGGGAAATTTGGCCCGGACACCCGGATAACTCCCTACATTTATCAAGAAATGCCCGTGGATCTTTAATGACCACTTGGAGCCAGGACCTCAGTTTAACGTCTTATTAAAAAGACAGTGCCCACTACAGTACACTGTCCCTGCCACTATACTGGGGCATTAGGACCCACACAGACCACAGGATGGGTCCCACCCCGCTGGTCCCACTAACACCTCTTCCAGCAGCAACCACAGCTTCCCAGGAGGTTTCCCCATCTAGGTACTGACCAGGCTCAACCCTGCTTAGCTTCAATGGGTAGCCAGTTGAGAGCTGCAGGGTGATATGGCTGCTGGCTACTAATTAATGTAAAGTAATAAATATTTTTCAGCTTATCAAAGATACCTTAATTGCCAGAGCTGAGACAAGGGATGCAGCAACTATCTGTGAAGCTGCAGCTATAAATACTGCACTGATTTTTTACAACTGGAACTAATTGGAGTTCCTACGATCTTTGCAAAAATATAATTAATGAACACACAGTTTAAACAAAAGAAACGTATTCATCTAAACCAATTAGAAAATAACCAGATGAAAGGTATCCACATGTTTGTCAATTATATAAATTTTCATTATCTGTTATATATTATAAGTCCACAGAAACACATGAAAGATGCAAAAGAAAATGAGCTACAGTATATGGGATCTGCTTTTACAAAAATCTTATTTTGTGTACAATGTCTAATGACTGCAACAATTATTCAGGAAGTAGGCCCTTAAATTCTAAATAATGAATAAAAAGAGAATGAATCAGATATGATTCTTACTTTTTTGTGATCTTTGTGCATGCAATAAATAAAGCTATTTATTATAATTTAATATATGCATAGTCAACTCATAAAAAATATGTTAACATACTAATTTTATTAGTACTAAATAATAATATGTTACAAATTGAGAAACCTGGTTTATTTTTATCATTATTATTTTTATCCTTCAAGCTGACATTTTCCATCCAAAACAAATGCCTGAGGAGGGTTTCTCTACACCATAATACTGCATGATCAAGGTAAAGAAAAATATATGAATCCATTAATAGATAAAGGAACAATTTCAAAATATAACCATAATCCTTCGGTTCTTGATATATGTGGAAAGGTTTGAAGAACTCGTACCCTATTGGAAAGTCCACATCCGCTCCATGGCCTGTCATGTGGTAAAGACCGAATTTAGCCAGCTTGATGCTACCCTGAAAGACAGTAAGAGAGCACGGCTAATCTATGGAGCCTCCCAGTGGACACTGTAAGAAAAAAAACCATACAGTGCGGTCCTCTTCAGTGTCTTTTCTAAACCCCATGACTCAGAAATACACATTTTAAGGATATTTATTTAAATGATTATGATAAGCAAAACCTAAAGCAGGAATTTGTGCATAGTTTTGGTCATCTGAAAATATCCTTTTTTCTAACTGAATATGCTCTGGAATCATCAACCAAAGAAGCAGCAGGCAGATATGCCAGGGCTTAAGGGAATGTGCCACACTGTCGGGATGAAGGAACTGGACCTTTTTAGTCACAGAAAGAAAAGATTACAAGGTGACTAGATACATTCAAAATACTCAAAGTTACTGACAAAGTCAACCCAGCAGATGTGTTAAGAATGATCACTGACACTTGCATCAGATGTGCAAGAGCAGGAGGCACTTATGTACCCCAGAGTGTTGTGGCTGTATGGAACAAACTGTCCAGCCATGATGTTGAAGCCACAATGCTCTGACTTTCTTCAAGAAAGACCTGGATGAGATACTGGCCTCCTTTCTTATGTAATTATACCTACTGTATATTCTAAACATATTTTTAAGGCTCAGTATCATGAATTGGACATCTTGATATAGGGACATTTTCAGAACATGCAATAATGTAACACTATATTTAATAAGAAATTAAATTAAATCCTCTTGGATTTTAAACACTCCAGTTACAAGCCCATTGTGTAAAAGCACATTCAAAAAGATACGTTTTCTGAGGTAAAATCTAATGCTTCATCTATTCAGACATTAACTAGAATGCAGTTCCATAGACAAAGGCAACAACAAAAATTACCTGGCCCCAGGTGATGATGGCTTTTAAGAAAAAGTAGCAGATCTAGTTTTAGGATTCAGTGCATGTTTAATTCGGTTTCGTGCCTCTTCTGGGAATTCAGACCCTAGCTCAACAAGTAAACCACACGTCTAGCATACATGTGACGAATGTACAGTAGTGCTGGGATTCTACAATTCTGTACCTTGCAGTCCATGAGCACATTATGAGGTGCAAGAGCTCTGTGCACCATCCTGTGTCTGTTCATGAACTCCAGCCCCTCTAACACCTCATAGGCCACCTGGAGGACCTTCACATGGCTGAAAGGGAACAAACAGGGGTAAACAGCATATTTTCCATCTATGTCCATGTTTCAACACACTTCTGGGGCAATACAGAAGGAAATATTGTTCCTTTCCATGTTTTTCATGTCTAGCAAAACCCTCAAGTCTGAAAGAGCATAGGAGTGCCGGTGAATTGTGGACACTTCAGAACAACCTTAATACAAGGCTTTACTGTTCAACAAAGGCTTCCAACAGTCACTTGAACTGGAGTGAATTATCAAAACCAACAACAGGACAGTGCCGAACAGGAGGGGGAATTACAGCTTCAACAGAATTTAGAAAAGGCTTGTGCTCACTATAAATCAGAGGTCTAGAAACCTTGAGCCTGGAGCACTGCCAGTGAGATTCGGATAACCTCTTTCAGATATGTGCCAAACATTAAGCCGGGAGAAACTGATTTATTTTATCAGACATAAATCCCTCAGGCGCGAAAGAGTTCTGCAGTTCTCGGCACAGTCAGGTTTATGTGCTCATAAAGATGTCTCTGAAAACCTTAAAAATACTAACTCATTTTCAAAATATCATATGATGTATCTATCTTTTTTTGGGTTCTTCTCCTCAAGAGAGAAATGGGAGTTTGGCATACAACTATAAACTTTTTATTTCTAAAATACAATGATACATTTTTAAAAAGTATTTGGGGGGGGGGGGGGGGATTTTCTACGCACATTATTACCCAGCTTGTTAATTTGTACAGTATATCTCATTGGAAAGCATGAAGGAAGTCAAGAAGGAAAATCACACAAGTTTAGCATTTAAAGAGAAATTACACACTGGTGCCAAAAAATTTACAAATTAAAGACACACAGTCAAATTCTTTTTCTTAATCTTTGCTTCAGAATTCTGTCCTGTTACAACAAACATTACTTTTTTAGCTTTCAGCTGAGGTCCTGGAAAGTCTTAAAAAATTAACAACTAAACACAAAAAGGATATGTTAGTTTTGCCATCCATTCAGTAACTACTTTATTTACGACGGATATAGCCAATTGCAAATTTATCTTTGATAAATAATAAACTTAGAAAAAGTTAGAGAGTTTTAAAAGAACAATTTAAAGGATCGTCATGTTCAATCTGCACACTTAGTAAGTACATAGATGCCACTCTCCATTCGGAATTTTCATATCAATACCACAGTGCGGTGACTAGGTACTGTGCTGAGGTCTTGACTATTTGACAAGTCACTTTTTCAAATTGGGAGGGATTTTAGCTGCAGTGTCCAGACTAAATTTCACTCTGAGCTCGTGCGGTTTGGAAATCCTACAGTACTGCCAGGAATTATTAGACAGCAGCATCCTACGTTAGACCTAAATACATGACCCTCATATCTGAAGTCCAAATTTCTCTATAGAGTTGAAACAGGCACCTCTTCCATCTAACTAGAATACGTAATAAAGCAACAGGAATTGAAACTTTAAATTGGCAGGTGAGTTGAAGTTTTGATTTTGTCAGGGCCTAAGGCTCAGAATGGGTAAGATTATATGATGGTTTTCATAACTGAATCACACGTTTCTGTTGAATAAAAGTAAATTAAAAAACACAGGACAATGTGGATGCAAGAGCACTGGCATTTTCTAAAGAAAACTTCAACTGTGCAGCATTTCATATGGCACTGGTGTTCAATATGTTCTGTCAACCTCAGTATACTGCATAATGACAGTAAAACTAGAAGGTTTACTATCACATAGGCTGTCTGCCCTCTACAGTAAGAATAACATTTTTAGACTTTTCTTCTAAAAAGCACAATACAAACAGATTTTACCTGACTGGTTTCCCCTGTTTCTGTAAATCCTTCAGACTGTTCTCATAGTGTTCAGCCACCACAACCAGCCTCTCTGATAGGACAAAAAACTGTTTTTACACATAGGAACTAGAGGTTTCATTTCTGTTAAAGCTACGATTTAAAGCTAATTGTCTTTGAACAGTAATTAGAGTCTTTTAGTTACGTCTGGATCCGACTAAAGAGGAAATTTTACATGACACTCATGAGTTTTCAGGCAGCACAGTGGTTAGCATTGCTTCCTTGCACTAATGGGTCACTAGGGTTTAGGTCCTGGAATGTAATATTCATGGAGTTTGTGTGTTCACCCCACTTCTTGTGAGTTTCCTCCAGGCGCCCAAGTTTCCTCCCACAGTCCAAAGACACACTGGTAAGCTAACTAGCTTCTGGGAAAACTGGCCCAGTGTGAGTGTGTGCATGTCTGTGTGATGCAATGCACTGGCATCCCATCCAGGGTGTATCCTGCCTTGTGCCTGTTGCCTGCCAGGATAAACTTTGGCTTCCGTAAAACCCTGAACTGGATAAAGTGGTTTGGATGGTGGACTCTTTGAGTTTTACTCCAGAGATTATAGAGATAGATCATAAATATTGTATATCTTAAGGGCTTCAAGGAAAATTTGATGACAAACCCTTTACTCAATTAACTTCAGAAATAAAAACACAACACTAGAACAAATAAGGAAATGCCAGGAATGAGAAAAGGGGTTAAACAGACACATACAGTAGATGAGCAAAACATCATATGTCAGTGCTGTGCTTCAGTCACACAGAAGGCACCACAACCAGCAACTCATTGGAGAACTAAGGTTAAAAAGCAGCCTGCCTTGTTTGCAGGCTGTTGTGTTATGAACGGGGAGACCAAATGGCTCAAAGCAGATCTAAAGATCCATCACATGAACAAAAATAAACATTGAAACCTTCAAGCCCCATTTATACACGACTATCGGGACTAATTGTTTCAAGCAAAGAGACATGCAGCTACTCACGTCATTTAAAGCAAACACAACATTGAATATTAATAATCCCCGTATATATGTTGTAAAATTAAAAGTCACTAAAGATTGAAGAGTATTGTAAAATGTAAGTATTGCTCGAGGAAGAGGTTTCTATAGCCTCACTAATGAAATCCTTGACCATCCTGGTTATCTTTATAACTTAATCTGTTACTTGAGCCTTATGAGTATAGAACTGAGCACATCTCTAACAGCTCCAGAGAACAAAAACCTATTAAAACAAGTTAAAGCCATGAGTGGATGAGGATGAGAAGGTGGAAGAAACATGAATTTAACTTCCGCCACTCTGAATTCGCGCACTGGGGTAAAACGCAGAGCCAGCTTTTCTAGTTGAGAAGGAGAAAAAAAGTGGCTTTTCGAGAGAGTTCCTGATCAGAACGTTTTCATTTTTATCTCAACCGATATAACTTATCAAGACAATACATATCTGAAGCTTTCAGTTCCCAGCACACATACTGTACAGTATAAAGGAACAAGCAGGGGTTAAATTCAACCTGAGAATTAAACCCACACAACTCCAGCTGCGAGTGAAAGGCTCTTCGGCTGCATACAGGAGACAGGAAAGGAGCAGAGACACGAAAAAGACGTAGCAGAAATGAAGCAAAAGAGGGAAGAGGTGAGGGTGTGAAGGTGGTGGGTACAAATGGAGAAAACAGGAGGAAATGTGAGGCAGATATCTGCAAGCAAATAGATTAAAGAGTTTGGTCAGCTGTTAAGTACTGAGTACCTTAAATGTATAAGCCCAATCTAATACCTACTCAGATGTCTTCAATCTAATAGTCCGTATTCACATACTGTATACACCCATTAAACTGAAATCAACGTGTGATCAGGTTACCTGCAAAGAAGTACTGCAGCCAGAGTTTATTAGCTCACTTCCTTGATTTGATCATGACAAGGGGGGGGGAAGAAATGGGAGAGATTAAAAAACAAGGAAGTGCCATACCGTGCTTCCCGCGGGTGATGTCCACATACTGACAGAGCCTGGGATGCGTGACGGCCTTGAGGATCTGAAAGCGGCCCAGGATCTTGATGGAGTTGGGGGTGAGCGGGAGCCCGTTGCTCCCACAGACGTCATGCGGGAGGGCGGAGGCAAAGAAGGTGAAGGCCCCCAGCTGAGCATCTCCGAGGGGGAACATGATCCTGGTGCAGGCCGCTCAGCGGGACTGGGGCTGCTAGAGCTCCAGGACACAACGCACATAGGAAACAGGACGTGAACACGCAGGGGAAATGTATACAAGTGGAGACAAAGCGTTTTCCAAGGGCTTCCATTCTACAAACAGCACACACAATCCCTGTTTCATCAATCCAATGCTGTTGAAGCCCCTTCTCAAAATGAACTTTATTCTAAAGGAGTTGAATGTTGTCTTTCTTTTCGTTCTGACCTCAATCCAGCTGCAGCCGATCATCTGTAGTAAACTTGATAAACACCTTGCTTTGCTAATGCTACTTTCCTACACATCTAAACACAAAAAAGGGGCGTCCGGACCTTTTTTCCCCGCAATATTACTTCTGTCAGCAGGTAACGTTGGCAAATATTTAACATATCATTGGTCTACGTAAAACGTGATAGTAGTCTGAAACAGACAAGTTAGAGAAAGTTTTTTTTTTTTAAATGATTCGAGACAGAAAATCAACACCAAGCAATGAATGAATACAGGGAGCAGCTACGGACTGACCCATTGGACACCCTGAAATAGTTAGCCAACAATTTACGTTCGTATAATTACAGTCGATATTATTAATCTGTGTTTTGTGATGGGCTTCGAGGAAGCGGAGCTCTAAAAGGAATAGCCAGCACAGGGTATTTCTAAATTCAAGCGAAACGGAAATTTCGCTTGAGGCATTGCGTTTGTTCTCACAATCGCGGAGATCATTCGCTTAGCTATGCACACGGATAATGACGATTGCATTTCTTTCAAATGTATTTTCTCATGTTTACCTACGGCACGTACTGTAGACACTACTGCTCCATCTTCTCACCGGAATCTGAAGTGCGCCCGATGTTTTCTTTCCCTGCAGATGATGTCAGAGAGGCACTCTGTGTTACATCATTTCTCAGCGACAGTCGAGAGAGCAGAAGCCGGAGAATGAAAAAAACGTACTGTATGTGACACATGAAGCATTTGTTACGATCACTGTCAGTGATATGACTTGAAAATGATATAATCGACGCGTCCAGCCTGAGAAGAGCCCTTAGCCGAGGGACGTAATGGGAAATAAGTTCCAAAAATAAAAATCTCAGTGATAAAGTTGTTGCTGTAACGTTTTCTTTTACACTGGGATATCCATATCCTCTCCTCCTTACACTGGGATGTCGCGTATCATCCATCTTTTCATTATTTTATTGTTTATTGTTATTACAATAATAATACAGCCTGAAGTACCATACTGTCGGTTGCACTCTTGGCATGAACAAAAGAATCACGTTAGGACGCTTGGGTTGAAAAATAGCTTGAGTGTTTTAAACGGACAGAAATAACACACTACTGTAACTTTTACGCTTCAAAATCTGTTTGAGGAGATAAATATTATCATAGACGTAAAGTATTATGTATTGTATTTGTTTTTTTAAATACTTGAATCTTAATTATTTTGAGAAAATACGCATTACATTACACACTTAGTTACTTTATTTGTTATTTTATTAACATCATCCAGGTGGGGCTGTACATTGGTGGTGGTGTAGGGGAGTCCCCATTACCTGTAAAGCGCTTTGAGTGGAGTGTCCAGAAAAGCGTTTTATAAGTGTAAGCAATTATTATTATTTTCTTATTTTTTAACTGTTCGACAGGTTGAACTCTAACTTGCTATGTCAGAATATGTCTCCTAGAGGGCGCATTACAATCAAAAAAGATTGTGCGGAAGTGGGACTCAATCCCATTAATAGGCAAGTTATCCCTTTAATTAACCTTAATAGTTGTAGGATATTCCACAATAAATCTAATAAACAACGGGCCGATCAAATCTGGCAACATTATCAGGAGCTGTCGTCAAACTTAGTGAATCAGGCTAGAACTGTGTGTTATATACCATATACAGTACAGTATATCACCCTGCAACTCACAAATGGCAAGCAGTTGTGAGCCTTGATAGTACCTGGATGGGAGACCTCCTGGGAAAGCCAAGGTGGGTGCTGGAAGAGGTGTTAGTGGGACCAGTGGGGAGCACTCACCCTGCGGTCTGTGTGGGTCCTAATTTGAATTGAAGGACATAAAAGCTACCTTACAAATCAGATAGTCAAATACGGTAGATAAACTAGAAGAGATTATAAACTGAGAGAAATGTATCTCATTGATAAAGCTGTTTGGCATCGACTCATGTGACGATATTTAAAGATTTATTATCAGAGGACTAATTCTGTGGACTTCTGTGATAGTCTTGCTGCAACATTTTTAATCTGTACCTAATCCATTCGTGTAGCTCTGCCTGTTTCTACCAATTATTTCAATATTTCACCTTTAGCATGGTGCTCTCTGTTCAAATGAATTACTGTAGCTACAGGAAACCCAAACTAGACAGGTGAAATGGCATCCTCTCATTTGTAACCTCTCTCGTGTGCATTGTGTGCATTGTTTTTAGCTTTGTTACTTTTGTAAAAAAAAAAACTTAAATCCTACAACCACTGTCCTGCATAACTGGAACAAAGAAGGTGGGGAACTAACCAGAAACGGCCTTGGCCATTATAATGACAGTGCTGGCAGTAATCCCCACTGCAGTGCAAATTAATCTGTTTCACTTTTTTCCAATTTTCTGGCTTCTAGGAAAGGATTTTATGGAGCTTTCATAGAGCTGACCTGGGTTGTACTTGGCATTATGGGTCAATGTGTGTATGTGTGTGGGGGGCGATCATGTCTTTCCAGAACGTGCCACCAGGAAATGATTATAGTCACACAAAACATGTAGTAAGTAGATCAAATCATAATAAACAAATTATTCAAAAGCCTATAGGTAAGGGTGTATTTTATTCTTAACAGTCTTACACCTTTTACAGAGTGAAAATTATAAATGGTAAAAGCTTTGACACTATTACACGTACAGCCAGAAATACAACATCACACACAAAGAATGTCATGTCATCACTACTGAGTGTATATGTTTACGGGTAAAACTCTTAAGGCACATTAAATGTGAGACTTAAGCCCCTGTGGTATAATGTACGCCTAAAAATACACATTACAAACTTTTGTTTAAATGTGCTTAACAGCACATACTAAGCCAGCAAAAGATGCATATGCTCTCCAAAAAATGCCAGATTTTAAAATGGCATCCCACTTGTACTGTATGTCAGCACAAAGGGGATCCGTTATGCAGTGTCAGGTACATTTATGGTTCTACTGTATACACATATGTAAATTACTGTATATAAAAGGAACCTTTTTTCCAACACAAATAGACTTTTCAGTCAGTTTCAATATACTGGACACTTAAAAGCCAAACTGATGACTAGAGTCTCCTGCAACTGCTGCTGACAACAACAAATTGGACATTGTTTAGGACTAAGTCTGTAATTGCACTACTCTCTTGTGCACATAAAATATTAAGCACATTTATTTCCACAATTAACGGGTATGTGAAAACACTATAGTAAGGTTAAAATATGTATACTGAACGCTGTATAAATATTTTGACCGATTTAGTTATGTTTCTCCATGATATAAAAACAAGTGATTTCAATGATAATGATGCAAAACACAGGAGGAATGTATCATGCTTAAAACCACACTACGTCTTTTAATTTCATTTAAACTACAGTATTTAAAAGTTGAAAGAGAATCTAATATTATTGGGGCATTTATTATACTGAAGGGAGACTACGGGATATCTGGGTTAATTTCTGCAGCAAATCAATCCATCCATTTTCTAACAGCTTAAATTCAATACACTTTAGCAGGAGAGCAAGAAGGTTTCCTGACGAGCACCAGGCACAAGGCAGGACACACACCGGACTGGACACCAGTCCATTACAAGTCAAACACAGATATGGACATGCACGCACTTACACCAGGGACAATTTTCCCAGAAGCCAGTTAGCCTACAAGTACAGTATGTCTTTGGACTGTGGAAACTGGAGCACCTGGTAAAAAACAACGTGAACACAAGGAGACCATACAAAATCCTCACAGACACAGTAGCACCCCTGGACCAGAACTGAACCCAAGGCTCCAGCACCGTGAGGCAGCAATGCTAACCACAACACCACTGTGCAAAACCTTTCTAAAGGGTTATCAATTTATAAGAACACAGATGTCATAAATCAAGTATATTTAATGTTTCCTTGCAGAACTACGGTGCTGGTGCCAACATTTCTCAAACTATTTTGTCAAGCTATGGCTTTTTGACTACACTCTTGGTTCTAAAAAAAAAGAAAAGCGAAAATGATTGTTTGGAAAATGTAGACAATACCTTAGGATGGAGTTTTAAAAGTAACAGATACTGATCTTGGCTACATGTTGGAAAGACTGTAATTGTTATTATGCTTCAGTGAGAACTGTTAAATACATTACTGAATTCATTCTTACAAGTGATGTATGTTTTCTAATATTTTAGAAATAAGCACAAGACTAAATTCTACTTACACAACTCATCCATACTTCTTAAAAAAGATTCTTATTGATATTGTAAAACAGTATTAAAATTCTAATTGACTTATGATCAACTACACATTTTATAAGAATGAAGGAGGAAATACATTCTTATAACTGTAACAGCCCTCCTGATCAATGGCCAGTGTGTACTGTACAGTATGTCTTTCATTTGCTGGATAGAAAGGGTGGCCTGCAATTTCTAAACTCAACACCCAACATATAATCAATATCTTAATTGCAAACTACTTATAATTAATTATAGTAACAGCAAGAAGAAGCCATGATGGCAAAGTCTGTTAGTTCTGGAACTCTTTCCAATTTTCAAAACTTTACAGTATAATCCACAACTTCTCAATATGAATTTCTATTACAGTTTCTTCCATGTTGATTCGAAGAGTAAAAACCATGCCATTATCCATGCTTTTTCAGTAAAGCCTTTAGCATTTATGAAAGTTTAAGGGCACTGTAAATGCAATATCATCAGATACGCAGAACCCTTAAAATCATTATTTTACTTTACGGTGACAATTTATCATACATGGCCTTAATTCAACAATCTGTTTACAGCTTCACCAAACAGACAATCTTCATTTCACCATTATTCAAGTATTTTGACAAGAAACTGTGTCAATGTCACTTCAAGGTATCAACAAGTTTTTGCTTTTGTCTAGTTTGATAATAAGCAGGGCTTCAGACAAACTTTGATATATACAGTAACATGAAGTCAAACATTTAGGCAAGACAGTCCTGGCATACTGTATAATGTACAGTATAATATCTGTTACTTAACTTAATTAAGTTATGTATTAACCAAATCTATTCCCTTTAACCTTCAATATATATATATATCAATTAAGACAATATTAGCTGTGTTCTTGAAACTAATGAAGTCATGCTATTTTATTGCAGATAACCAAGTTTCATATTTAAATAAATAGTGATGTTTTACAGGAGGGTAAGGTCATAATGAGGCACCAGGGATCCCGAAACATAATTTTACTCTTCACTTCAAGAAAAGCAGAAAAAATAACACATGGAACTAGGTACTGTGCTTGAGTATTATAAAAGCCATTGACATCTCCCTTAGTTTATACAAAATGATACTCAATGCCTAAACAAGATATCTGATCTTTTTCCTTGGTTACTGCACTAGAATAAAATGCAGCCCACAGACACTGGCCAGGAAAGGGGTTCCAGTCATCATTAAAGTACAATAATTTCATCACATCTTACACCTAGAGATGCTCAATACATGTTATTCTGTAATAAAGCATATAATCAGTCACAACAGAAAAAAGTAATTCTTACTGTAGTTCAGTTGAAAAGGAAATGTGACACTCCATTTACTGTAGTTTTTTTTCCCCCCAAAGACTTGACTTTAATATATTTTTCCTCCCATTTTGGAATATTCATTTCAGAACAGTGTCTTCATTATTGTGGATCATTATTGGTGATAGGTGACTGCTGTTGAAGTCTATGTCATTGTAGTGTTTACCTTCATCATTGTATATATACTACCATATATTTCCCATGTATTAACTTACTGTAGCTACACTATATCTTGAGGTCTCCCTCAAGGACACAGTGATGTCAAAGGTAGAGACGAATTTAACAGGCTCTTCAAGATTATTAGCCCTGCACAGCAGTTGTCCATGATGTGAATCAGATGTATTCCATAGATGAACTCAAAGGCAATTTTATGGACTTTATGAGCTGGAACCCCTTTTGTGTAATTATTTCCTAAAATCCTATAGACAGACACTATGATCTAATCAAATGTGTTTTGTGCATATTTGTATATATAGATACATATAATATACATATAATATTATATGATAATATAATATAAGGAAACGTAACATACTTCAGTCTGCTGTCAAGGTACTTTTGTGAATTATGGTATTGTGAAGACCAAATTACTGTTTTTTCTCAAGTATTAATGAACATTTTTTAAATTAACAACTGCAAAATGATTTGTAAAGAAACCACCATAAAACACAATTACATTTTGGCCAGGCGCATCATAGAATTTGCATATAAAATATTATTATATAAAAGCAGAAAAGGTAAATCTTTTAACATTTGTCTATGTGAATGGTTTCATAAACAGTATATACACACAAAATTAAAGTTGATTTACCTGAAAATTTAATTTAAAAATAATACTTTATTTCTGAAAAAGAAAAGACCCCAAGCATGTACTTTGTCTTAGATAAATGAAAAAAAAAAACACCGGTCTCTCTCATATACAGTATATATATAGTGACCAATAAAAATCCTGAAGAAAAAATGTATCTTACACTATAAGAATATTTATACTAAATACTGAAATACACACTATAAAACGTATTGTTTTACAGAAACCGAGCCATCAATGAATTATTTCCCATTTTTCTGTTTAAAATGTTGAAATCATTTGAACGGATGTCATCACATAGTTAAGGAGGTAAGAGTAATTCAAGCAAACTGATGAAAGCATAACAGACTGCTACATTCCTTTGCTTGAAATTTCAAGCATTAAGCTTCAGATTTACTAGGGACCAATCCTGCCTTCTCATTTGGAATATGGAAACAAAGGTTCTTGTGCATTTTATTTAAAAAAAAAACAATAAAGGCCACAAATTAATTCATATATTTTGTTGTTGTCCAACACTGAGCATCAGCAAGACAGAAACATTCAGTTCCAACGTGCTCTAGATGAAAAGTGATTGTCACAGCATACAGTTTGTGTCAATGCTTCCCTCTTCTGTTTACTCTCTGATTTTGAGTGATATATCTGCACCCTACTGTGTTCTAAAAGTAGAGGCCTCCATTGCCACATGTTAGAAAGGTTGGATATGATGTTGTTTATAAGACAGTCCCACAGAAATTGGAAAACACAGTGGCTGACTGACTCCACCACTTCACAAGCTTCCCAGCTGTAATGAAACTGTTTCTGCTCATCCAAAGATGATGCTCTAATAAGTGTCCAAGAATCACACTGAAAGATTACCCTTCTTCAGAACTGCCCCCATAGGAAACACAACAACATGTTCGTTTTTCATTGCTTTTGTTGAATTTGAACAACAGCAACAACAAAAACAACTCAAAATCACTTTGAACACTGAATTACACTACATCGCGCATTCACACACACTCACACTCACCTTGGACATAATCGGAACAACATTATGGTTCCAATGCTTCTGTGGCTAGAACACGTGTCTCCCCCCCCCCATTAAGAGAGATTTTCAGCTGGCATGTTCATATATTTAACCTTGTAACAGGATATGTTGAAGAAGCACTTCTTTTGCATAGTCTTTGGTGTGAACTGCTTAGCATTTTGGTCTAAAGATGTTCCATCCAGAAAATCAACAAGAAAAAAAAAAATCAAGTTTGACGTGACACTGCAGGTGAATGCCTCAATGGAGGTGTGCATCGGTATCTCATTCCCCTCTGCTGCTCTGCACCATGGAGTAGTTCTTGCAGGAGTTCTTGAAACAGCTGGGAGGCCAGGAGATGGGCCAGGCAAAGGTGCAGGGGACCTGGGTCTGCACGTTCTTCTCGAAGAACCGAAACACGGGATTCCACCAGACGCGCGAGAGGTAGTTGTTAGAGCACGTCTTCAGTGCCTGTCCGCAAACAAACACAAAGCAGAATTTAGGAATTAAAACAAACTGCGTTTAAAAGTTACGCCTCCTGAAGTGCTCGGACACAACTTCAGTTCAACTGCACTCTGGCTTAGCAGTGGTTTAGCAAAGAGAAGCACTGACATCGATTTCCGTCAGCTGTGTCAGAAGGTTTCATGGAGTCAAGAAACCAAAGTACCACTCAGGTATTAGACATTGTGCTGCTGCTTGACTTGGCATTTCTAACAGATGTGAACGAAATATTGAAAAGTCAGAGCTGTAAATAATAAGGGATATAAAAGACATTTCCGGAGATGATTATCTGAAAACGAAACCTAACTTTTGGATACAGTACATGAGGTTGAACAAAATGAAACATTTTACACCTGCTGGCCTTCTGGACATTAGCAAGTACAGTGACATCTTGACTAGAGCCCAGAATTCAGAGAATCTTTGACTAGGTTTGACCTAGATATTGATGACAGATTTAATGATTTTCAGCTTTGCGTGATCTGGACGTCAAACCTAGTCTTTGAAGTGGATGTTAATGTCATTTCTGAATAAACTAGCTTGCTGCTTAACCTGGATTAAGTAGCTTTGGAAAAGGAGGTTATCATAACATAACACTCAAACTGGCAATCGAGTCAGTCTTACTGTATGTTGATTTTTGTAGGGCTGTGGATACAGGGAAATACAGTATAGTAATATCTGCACAGTTGTAATGAAGATGTCTTCCTTGTTTGGTTCTACATCCATTTGTGAACTTTTGTGAGTCCTCCTTTCCTGAGGAACCTTTATCAAATTTAAAATAATACATAATGCTTTAACAGCTACATATCTTCTTACCATTTATTCTTTTATTTTCAAGATATTTTCAAGGAGACATTCTACTATACAGAAACAGCTTGCCAATATGAATCCAATTGCAAGGAAAAAATGAAATTGTTGTTGTAATTGTTTGATGGCATTATCTCTGCTCTTACACTTACAATATATTAACAGTAAATCTTCCCATTACTAACAGTGAGAGTGTTGAATTTACCCTTACCACAGAACCAAACATTAGTTGGCATTAAAAGCTTTTTCATGCTACTTTATTACACTGAGGGGAATCTCTCCCTGATTTTCAAAAGGGTATTGATGACAAAAAACAGTACTGGGAGTCCCACTGATCCCATCAAAACAGCACTCAAGAATAAGTGATAAAAACAGAGTGGAGATTCCAGAAAATACAGAAATGAGCAGTTTGGAAGCAATTGTAAACTCTTTGCAAAATAGGTCATTCGAAAAATGAATCTTTTGATTCTGCAAAATTAAAATGAGTCAGGTAGTTCAAGCACAGGTTTCAGATACCAGATCAGTATCCTGCATCTGACATTTGATTATTGACAAGAATGCTTTAAACAGCTCTTATTAGAATTTAAGTTACGAGAGTTATGTCTACATATACAGTATATAACTTAATGTTATATTCTTAGAAAACATAAAGATTCTATATCATTTTAATAAATTACATGTTTAACAAAATATACTTTAAAAATTACTAAACAAATTTTATGTTTTCTGAAAAGCAGAATAACTTTATGTTCAACTCTGAACATCACCTGACAAGGCAAGGGACAAGTGAAGTCTGGCTTGTGTGAATGTGTTTGGTTTGGCTTAAGTCAGCTTTTGTCTGCTGTATATAGAAGATAGCAAAACCTGGAATTACTACACTAGAGAGAACCACATAAGGTCCCTTAGTAACAGGTTGTTTTTTCCTCATTTGTTTTGTACATCTGCTGGATCTTTTGACTTTTCAGCATGTTTATCTGTCAGCTAGAACCAGACTGTATGCAGTATTTTTTGACTCATCATCCAGCTTCACACTTACATTACACACTAACCATTCCTGATAATTATGAAGACAGTCATCCAGACTTTAAATTGGATCGATAATCTGTGCTTACATTTTAGAAGTTAGAAACCATTTTAAAAGCCTATATTTATTCCCATGGTTGACAAGAGTGTTCACTGGCATTATTAGTTTCAATTCCAGAGCATTTTGATGGTTTATGGAATCCTATACCTACTCAGTACCTTAATTACTCTTTTCTATGTAACATGAATTCCTGCACTTGTTCAATAGCAAACTTCTCCATTTCTCCCTGACGCATATACAGCCCAACGGACAACATGGAATTGAATACTTTTACAGTAGAACAATTTCATTATATGTAAATTAAAAAACAACAATACTTTGTCTCCAGAAGGTTAATGTTTTTCTCCAACCAACAAAGAGGAATAGCCAAAATTTGCCAAGCCAATGACCTACACTCAGGTCTAAAGTGGCTCTTGGTTTTCCATTAGTGATCCCCGGAGATTAAAAATTGCCTTTCTGTGAGTTAAACAGTGTTACCACTGTAAACAGTGTTTGCTTCTGACACATCTCCTGTCTAAATCACACTAAAGCTGCAGATCTTGGCTCAGATTCTTATTTAATCTTCAAGTTATTTTTCACACAGAAAATTTCATTACATTAATTTGAAGTGAAAGAAACATTTTTCTTAAAAAAAAAACAGCAAGAAATTACATCTAATGAAGCAACTGAAAAGCCTTGAGGATATAGGTCTCATTCTTCAGTAAGCATGAACACATCTACACACTAGTTATGTACAGTAGAAGAAAACAATGTTGACCACTTAATCAAGTAAACAGATTACAGAACTTCTACCTACAGTAAACAACTGACATATATTTCTATAGAGATACAATAGCATTAAAGAGCTAAAAAGTTTGAGTGATTACATAGAATTAATTGTGCAATACAAAGCAGGTCAATTCAAAAGATCAAGTTCAACAACCACTTCAACCAATCACCTTTACTTCACATAAATAATTTCACAACAGGGGCTGTACAATCTTCTGCAAAACCACAATTATCTTTAAATCACTTACAAACTAGAAAACAAGTGACCCCAGTGTTATCTCCACTGTCAAATTCCTAAAAGCTTTACAAAGCGGTATACCAATATTTATTTTCCTTTCTTTAAGGGAACTGAAACTTTTATACTGATATAGAAAATATCTGAAAGAAAAAAGAGAGAAAGGTCTTACTACTTAATACATTTATATTTGAATATACTATACTTATTCTGTATTTGTTTTTAATTTTCATGTATTAAGCCTCGATTTAAGATTTTAAGTAAATGATTCTCTTTTATTTTAAACAAAGCACCTCCTCTGTATTTTCACTCTTTGGTTGCCTTGTGTTCTTAGTGGAAATATAATGGATGCAGGGAATTGTTTTATTGTATTTTTAATAGTAATTCTTTACATAGAGCTTACTTATATACTGCTTTTCTGGACACTCAAAGCACTTTACAGGTAATAGGGACTCCACTCCACCACCAACAAAGTACAGCCCCACCCGGGGGTGGGACGACAACAATAGTGCACCAATACAATCACACATTGGTGACCACGTCAGAGTGGTTTATTAGGAGGTAAAGGCCAGGGGGAAATTTGGCCAGAACACCCGTATTCTTTTCAAGAAATACTCTGGGATTTTTAATGACCACAGAGAGCCAGGACCTTGGTTTTACATCTCATCTGAAGGTTGTCACCTTTATTATAGTATAGTGTTACCATCACTGTACTGGATCCACACAGACTGCAAGGTGAGCACCCCTTACTGGCGGCGCTAATACCTCTTCCTGCAGCAACCTTAGCTTTCTCAGGAGGTCTCCCCTCCAGGTACTGACCAGGCTCACACTTGCTTAGCTTCAGTGGGCTGCCAGTTGGGAGTTGGAGAGGGATATTGCTGCTGGCTTTTTCGTTTCATCATCCTTGGAGATATTATGTTCAATTTGTTTATTGGGTTTTCAGAGAAGACAAAATAATATTACACGTACCACACGTAACAAACACATGTACACCAACATCGTGGTATTCCAGACTTGGTACCTAAACAAACTGTATCAATCCAACATCAATATGAAAAGAGGGAAAAAGGAGAAGGAAAAAAGGAAACCATAGATGTACAGTAAAAGAGATAACTAAAAGGAAAAAAAGGAGCGAGAGATACTGTCCTTGAGGATTTTAATACTTCAATATCCTTGAACATCAAAGAAGATAGACCTTCAAACAGTTTATTCTGTGGTTTTGCAAAGCATGGAGAGATAGAGATCAGCGGTGTTGAATTTGTCTTGTGAGCACTGCATTGCATATTTGCTGGCAGCAGTAAGATCAGTTGAATAACTAATGGCTGTCGACTGAGTGTTTGCTGATGATGTTCAAGGAAGTACAAGGTTGCGCTGGTGTTCCTCCGACTCACCTGTACATTGGCCATTGTGTGGTACCACCAGAACAGACGCGAGGTGATGAAATAGGCCACCACAACGTCCACAGTGTAGTGCTCGTGGGCGACCAGGATGCACACTACCCCCACAGCACTCAGCAGCCAGCACACCAGGTGGTACCACCAGAACCGGCGAGGAGAATCTACGGGACAAACAAAAGGATGTATGGGAATAAATCTGAGAAACACCAAGAAACAAACTGCCAAAGGAATCAATCGCAGAGATTACAAACGTCAAACGTGGAACACAGCAAAAGACAAATCACAAACCAGATTTGAACTAACTTAATCTATAAAACAATCCACCTACTGTTGTGCAAGATCACTGAGAGGGCTAGGCCTGTACAATCCAAACGGGCGTAAGAATTTTAATAATGCTGAACTGGCACTTTAAGTAATGAGTGTGGCTTTGCAGTCAAAACATTTCCACACAACACAAGGCCTGACTGTTATGAGAGGTTTGTGGTTTTAAGTGCATTACTGAATGTGTCTTGTCAACTGCAGAACCAGAGCAGGGAGTGCCGTGGGGAGTCACACGTCAAATTCACATTTTTTTAAGATATAGTCGAAGATCTCGGTGGTGTCAGCTCAAATCATGGCTGCCCCATATTACAGTTTCATCATTTTAGAAATCCCAGCTAACCGAGTAATGAGTTGGTTGTGTGAAACTCACATTCCTTGATGAACAGGTAGGTCAGTGTGAGCATGACGGTGTGACCGCTATACAGGAAGTCTCCACACATCATGTGGGAGCCAGTAATGGACAACCCCCCGCCTGATATCAGCCGCAGGATCCTCTGAATTTTGGCCTGGGAGTCCGCATAGAGCTGAGGGAGAAAACAAACCGCATCACTCTGCTAGAAAAGAGTCATGACAGTCGCATGAAAACCAAAAGTACCTACAGAAAAAATAAAAACATCTGAGTACACAAGAAAAAAAGCTAAATTTGTAAACGTAAAATAGTGAGACCAGGTATTGTATGAAGGGCATACTGTCTGATAGCATTTCCGGAAAAACACAGCCACTCAAATGCTGAGAAAAATCACTTTTAATACTAGAAAACAAATATTAGTAACTTTACTAATTAAATAGAAAGGTGTCAAACATGTATCTTTAACACTCCTAATAAAGTTGTATTTTAGGTTTAAAATTGTAGCTGTTTTTTCAGCAGAGTGCTTGTGTTGTAATCATCAAACAAGATAATTATTTTACACCTGAATCCTTATTTTATTGTATATAAAAAAAATATCTAAGCCTATCTTTCATGGTAGGAAAAACAGTACAGGAAGAAATTCCCTTTTTTCATCCAAAATCGATTTTTCCATGAGCGCAACATTGAAGTGGGAAGTGTAAAATTCTTGAATTATGACAAGTCAAGATTTGTTAATGAAGGTAATTACAGTTCACGAAAACACACCGGCAGCCAACATTGATATCTCGTTCATTGATCGAGAGGGTGAGATCTAAAATCCAATGTACATTCTTCTCACTCACCTTTGGGGCACAGTTCATGTGCATGCCTGGTACAGGTAATGTTGTTATATACATAGTAATGCATCGGTACAGGTACAGAGTTCCCACCAAAAAGAAAAACCTTCTTCCGGCAATAGCCCTGGAAAATACACCAACATACTGTGAATTAGTAGAGTACGAAAACACCTGTTTTCTATGGAGAAGAGAGGATTCATAACCCTCAAGTTTCAAGCCTCTCGGTAAACATCAAGGTTAACTTCAAAAACAATTTCTTATCAGACATTAAATATACAGTACTACTGAGACCTGAGGTGAACCAGAGGACTACTATAATGACTCCTACCTCTTGGAGGCTTTGTGTGTGCATGAAGAAAATTTTCACTGTGGAGATCTTAGCCGTTTGTGAAACCGTAGGCCAATACATAAATAAAGATGAAAACTTTGACTCCCGCATTGAACTGGTGATTCAATATGCAAGAACCAGCTAACTAGCTCAACGTTTGGTTGAACAAGCCTTGGCATGTTAGTGCATGCTGGTGGGGCTCATTCTTTAACCCCTTCTGCACTCTTTAATTTTAAGCAAATGAAAACAAATTTCCAACCAAGGTCTGTTGCCATGCAAGTGGATGGAAAACAAGCCCACGTACAGTGGTGTCAGGCCTACTGTACATAGCTTTTTTGCACATGGCATGGGACGCCATGGGATGCAAGGACAGAGCAGGCAGGAATGAACAACACTCTGGTAGAGAACATTTGCAGGGGGTGGCTGTGAGAGCAACCTTCTGTGCTATTAACACCTCTCCCAGTGTACTGCAATGACGTCCACTTTTTTTGCTCCTATTTTCCTATTCTCACAGCGTCGTGTAACACATAAAACCCAACTAAATGCCAGAATTACTAATGACGCAGTTGTTGTTTTAAAAAAAAAAACGGATTAGCCTTATTCATTTTTCTGGGCTTTGTGCGTCCGTGTGTTTCGAAGTAGAAGCTTTATCCAAGGATTTGTCTTTCGGAGGTAACAAACACCAACACACCGCCTCACCACAATCACGAAAACACAAAATGGTATTAATATATTACCACTTTATCATTATTAAATGAAAAGCAATCTAATTAAGGCACCTTAAACAAATGTGAATCACACTTTTTGCATTCTAATACAAATATTAAGTATTTTTAATTCTAAATACAAATGTATTTTGTAGCAACGCTGCTGTTATTTAAATTACTAAAAGATTTTAGGATCAAGAACAGCAGATTTTTATTTCATGTACAGCAGTTGACACTTGTGCATTACAAAAGAATAATAGTATTTACCTCCACTCTGTAAAAAGATCAATACTTTATGAAAGACAAAACATATCAAAGCGGTAATTAGCACAAATATTCCTATATTGTAGGCAGGTTAGTTTCACCAGAGGTTATCATAATGCACGATAACTTACTATGTAAAAGTCAAAATTATGTGGCAATATAATTGAACAAAAACATGGTTCAGTGTAAATTAATTACGGTTAGCATAAGACATTTCACTTCCTCTCAATGGGAAAACAAGTGTTCTCCTCTCATTTTCATGGAAGAATCCAAGAGCAACATACAAAGTTTACTATATGTGCACAGTTGTTCTAATTCACACAGTATAAAGACAACTGAGTAAAATAAATGGCAGCATAGTACAGTGGTTAGCATTGCTGCCTCACAGCACTGGGGCCCTGGGTTCAATTCCTGGGGTGCTGTCTACATGGCCTTAGCTCTCCCCATGCTTGTGTGAGTTTCCTCTGGGTGCTCCAGTTTTCTCCCTCAATCCAAAGATATACCAGTAAGTTAACTGGCTCCTAAGCCCTGGTGTGAGTGTGTGTGTGTATTTTTGCCTGTGTGTGGATGGATGGAGCCAAATTATTCAGTTTATGTCTTGTTCTCTTAGCATTATTTTCTCAAAGATTCCTGGCTAAGACATCTGAGCTCGTTGTTCAGAATGAGCACGCGGTCTGGCAGACAAATCCTGTGCACTGCTCCCTTTAGCTGGGAACACAGGAGGTGCAAAGGCAAGTCTCACTTACTTATATCGGAGGAAAAGCCACTGGACGAACCACAGTCCCACGAGAACCATGCCATTGATCTCCGTTACAGAGAAGGCCCACTGGACGCGATCCACGTAGTCAAAAAACTTATCGGGCAAGGGAGGACTGTTGTCCTTGTCAGGAACTCTCTCGTGCACCACTGTTATCATGACCGTGGTCAAGACCAAGTTGAAGCACGCATACACAAATGCAATGCCCGTTTTCCACCATTCCAGGGGCAGGCGGTTCTTAGATTCCGGCACAGATATCTTAATGTAGTCCTGTCGCTTTCGGATGCCCTTCCTCAGGCTGTTGGGCAAAGCGCTCTGTTTGTGGTGACCACTGCTGCTGCCGTCACATGACGCTGACATGAGGTTAGTCCTTGGACAGCCATTGGACAGCTCGGTATGTTCCTCTTCCACTTGTAAATCCAAGTGAGTGTTCACCGAATCCCCTTCACGAAGAAGCTGTGGAGATGCCATATATACAGTATACTGCAAGGTGTGAGCTACGGTGTTAGAGAAGAGGATTGAGTTTATCCTTTAAGGCAGGAAATTCCAACTTTTTACTCTCTGCTTTCAAACGTCGATAAGATGTGGAGTGTAAAAGGCTTTTGGAATGACAGCTGAGGGTCATGTAATACTGCCTACTTTTCCACAGGAAAAAAAGACATGCTCCCCACAGACACTGAAAACTACAGCCGTGGCCCTGAAAATAAGACAGATCACAATTAGTGAAAGGATCAGTGAAGTACTGCAACAAAACAATGATGAACAGAACTTTCTAAACCCTTGTTGTAAATCCTGAAGAATAGAATATGATGTAAAAAAGTTATTCTTCTTATTTTGTGTTTATACCTGTGCAATCCTTTTTAAAAAATAGCATGCTGTGTATTATACTGTAACTTTTAACTTCCCTTCAAAGCTCTCCTGTGCATTCAAAACATAAAAAGTTGCAAGGCTTACTGAACATCTTTTATCAGAATAAAATAAATAACACTAATCTGACTAACAAGGTTATTGGTCTAACAGGTTCCTTGCTCTGCATCACTTTAATAAAATGTATGTATTTTAACAGCATCTTTTTGTTCAAATACATACTGTATTCCTAATTAATCTTCCCAACAGTTTCTTCTTTTGTTATTTTAAAAGTCTGACATTAGGTATGCAGATAGAACGTGTTTCTCTTGCAAAGAAGGCAAAGAAGAACTGAAACCATCCTGAGATTTTCAGGTCACCTACAGAATGGTTGTGGATTCTTTAATAATAATTCTACTTTTAAGGCTGGTATCAAAGATGGGCATAAGTGCAAAACACTGTCAGTATTATTTTGTGCATCATCACTAATTATATGAATGGGGCTTTAAATGGGATTAGGTTCAAACAAATGAACTGTAGATTGAGCCGGTTCAGGGACGCCAAATATGTAATCATAGTGGCTCTCTGAAGGCACCAGTTCTGTAGGGTTTGGGCATTTACTGAGACAATTATTAATTGTAGCAGTAAATCACAAAGTTGATTCTTTTGGTG